GGAAAAGGGAAGGAGGGATAAGGACAACGACAGTGGTGGAAAGTCAGAGGACGGAGAAGAAAGAAGAGAAGAAATGGGAAAAGGGGCAACCTTCGGCGCAGGGTGGTGTCCAGGCGGCTATGATGTCGACGGTGGTAAAGAGTACACCGCCAAACATCGACGAAGTTCGCCGAAGATGGCCTAGGCCGAGCTCCGATCTGAGGGAGACAAGGAGGAAGGAGGGGAAGTGTACCGAGTGTGGTGAAGCAGGACATTGGCTGAAGGAATGCCCTGTAAGGGAGGCTAAGGTTAAGGTTGGACTGTTGCCTCCATGGGGGGGGAAGTTCGGAGAACGTGGTGGAGGATCGGGAGGGAACGCAGTACCTCTCGGACAGAGGAGGAACTTGAATGCGGTTGGAGGAGAAGTAGATTTGGAAGAGGACCAGGGAAAAGAAGAGGACCTGTCGCAGTAGGCGAGGCTCGGCGGGTCCGCCATATTCTCTCGGCCACCATTCCCAAACCCATAAAAGAAACACAGCTGATGGAGCCAGAGGATTGTGAATACAAAAATACACCACTCAGTACCCCTTGTTCATGCAATGTCGATAATCATCTCCTCATCCCTTCCGTTTCCAGAGATCAACCTAAATCGGACATTTTCATTAATGGAATAAAGCTAACTACGCTCTGGGACACTGGAGCTACTTGTTCATATATAAGCCCTAAGGCAGCAGCGAAGATAGGTGTAGAAAAGAGGCGATATCAGGTGAGCGTACCCGTTCACATGTTCGACGGCTCGGTGAGTGTCGCTGGACCCATCACCGAGTTTGTCGAAGTCGGATTTAGTTTGACGAAGGACGCCGAAGTGCGATCTGTTTGTCTCGATGTAACAACGCTCTGCGACGCAGATGTTGTGATAGGGTGGGATTGGATGAGGAAGGAAGGGGTTGTCCTTGATGGAAGAGACAACTCGGTGAAATTTCCCATCCCAACCCCACCAAGTGCGGCGAAGTTAGCGGCCATAGGGCTGCCAACTCTGACGGACGTGATAGACCTCCGCGGCGAAGATGAGCTTGAAGAGCTGAGCCCGGAGGAACAAGACGAGTTGTTCCAGGTAGTTCCTGAACAATACCACCAGTACATTGACGTTTTTAATCCGAAGAAGGGAGGAGAGACCCTCCCCCCTTCAAGGTCCTACGATTTGAAGTTTGAGCTTAAGGAGGGGGCGAACCTTAAGGTCGCCTCCCTCTATGCTCAAGGAGAAGATCAGAGACGCGCGCTGAGAGACATACTAGATCGCGAAATCGCCGCTGGCCGAATTCGGGCAAGTAACTCGCCATACGGCTCACCAATGTTTATGATACCGAAGAAAGCCGAAGGACAGTGGCGAATGGTCATCGACTATCGAAAACTGAACGAAGCGACCATACCAGATGCCTACCCTCTCCCTCTAATAGGTCAAATTACCGAAGAACTTGGAAAAGCAAGGTATTTCAGCAAACTAGATCTAATTGGAGCATACCAATTGTTGAGGGTGACAGAGGGACATGAACACCTGACGGCGTTCAGGACACAGTATGGTATGTTTGAATCTCTGGTTGTTCGTGATGGGCTGCGAAACGCCCCCGCGGTCTTCCAACACTTCCTAAATGAGGTGTTTAGAGAGCTACTAGGGAATGGAGTCGTGGTCTACATTGACGATATCCTCATTTATGGGAATACGTTGGAGGAATTACGAGGAACTACGGCGAAGGTCTTTGAGGTACTGCGGAAGGCGAGCCTGTACGTGAAAGCTAGTAAGTGCGAGTTCGAAAGAGATTCGGTGGTGTTTCTGGGTTTCGTGGTATCCTCTAAAGGTGTATCGGTGAACCCAGAATACATTGATGCCATCACTTCCTTCCCACGTCCTAAGAATCTACGAGAGTCAAGGGGATTCATTGGAGTTGTAAGCTACTACAGGCGCTTTGTCCCCAACTTCTCGAAGATTGCTAGACCTATCAATGACTTGACAAGGAAGGAGGTACCATTTGTATGGGGAGTCGAACAGGAGTCAGCCTTCAAAGAGTTGAAGGCTAGGATGTGTACTGCGCCGGTGTTAGCCCATTTTGACCCTACATTGAAGACGATATTACAGACAGATGCGTCGTTCTTCGGCTGGGGGTTCATAATTTCGCAGATCAACACGGCTGGTCAAGAACACCCGGTAGCTATTGAGTCTGGTGCTTTCAACACAGCTCAACTGAATTATACGGTAGGAGAAAAGGAGTTCCTCGCTGTAGTGGAGGGTTTCAGAAGAAGGAGACACTTATTATTGCAGGTAGAAACCACAGTACTTACCGACCATCTAAACCTTACCTACTGGATGGAACCGAAACAACTCAGTCCTCGGCAAGGTAGGTGGGTAGAGGAGCTAGCTAACTTCAGGTTTAAAATGGTTTATCGGCCAGGAACCCAGGCAAGTCTTCCAGATGGATTATCTAGACGGGCGGACTATCATTCCGGGAAAGGAAGTACCATGGTACAAGAGAGCAACCTTATCCAAGGTCTGCCGAAGTTCGACGAAGTTGACGCAACCACGTCGGAGTTGCGTCACCTCCTTCGAGCATTGCAAGGGACAAGGGAGGTAAAGGAAAATGATCTTGTGGACCCTATGGATCTAGTACTTGGAGTTCAGGAGGACGAAGACATAGAAGGGGTCAGAGAAGAATTATTAGGAGTCGTTTGCGTTGAGTGTTCTCATCCTACGTGTAACGATAACGTGCAGGAACCAGGATCAATCACCGAACTACGCCGTAGTTCGCGGTCTCCTCTAATCCTTCGTGGGGGGTGGAACTCAAGAGGTTTCCTCACATTTGACGATCACATTTATGTGCCGAACTACGCCGATGCTCGGCTGAAGATCATGAAGATGCGACATGACTCAGCCTTGGCCGGTCATCCAGGTTCGGCGAAGACCCTTGAACTAGTCCTGAGGGATTATGTCTGGGTTGGAGTAAGGAAGGATGTCGAAGATTATGTTGCTGGATGCGCGGTATGTCAGAGAGCGAAGACTAACAGGCAGAAACCTCATGGGGAGCTTAAACCACTGGAGGTAGCTACGAAACCTTGGTCTAGCATCTCGATGGATTTTATCGAGGAGCTGCCAAATTCCCATGGATATAATTCCATCCTGGTAGTGGTGGATCGGTTGACCAAATGGGCCATTTTTATCCCGACTACGACGAAGTTAACCGCAGCCGGCCTATCAGAGTTGATATTGGACTATGTGGTGGCCCAGCATGGGTTGCCAGAGAATATAGTATCGGACAGGGGATCGAAGTTTACGTCCAAGTTCTGGAAGAATTTGACCGATAGTCTCGGAATAAGACTACATCTCTCTACTGCATATCATCCACAGACTGACGGACAGACCGAACGAACCAACCAGTCTTTGGAACTGTATCTTCGAATCTTCACCTCCTATCAGCAGAACGACTGGTCAAAGCTACTCGCTCGAGCTAGCTTTGCTTACAACAACACCCAGCACTCTGCGATAAACAAAACCCCATTCTATGCGAACTATGGATATCACCCTCGTTGGGCTGAAGAGATAAAGGCTAGCGAGGTCGAAGTGCCCGCTGCTACGGTGGTGGTAAAAGACTTGACTGAAATACACAAAGATTGTATCGAAGGAATTGAGAAAGCTAATGAGAAGTACGCCGAAGGATACAATAGGAAACACCGGACTACGCCGAACTTCGCGGAAGGAGACCTAGTGATGCTGTCGTTAGAGAATATTAAGACGAAGAGACCAATGAAGAAGTTAGATGTTAAGCAAAGTGGGCCGTACAAGGTAGTACGGCAGGTAGGTTCTCATGCTTGTAAATTGGAATTACCAGGAACGATGGCAGGTATCCATGATGTATTCCATGTCTCCTTGCTCCGTCCTTATCACCCTCAAATATTTCCTGGTCAGCAAGCTGAGCCACCTGGGCCAGTAGAAGTAGACAATGTGGGAGAGTCTTGGGAGGTAAAGGATATTGTGGACTCTAGAGTAAATAAGAGGTCAGGAAAGTTAGAGTACTTGGTGGAGTGGTTAGGTTACGAAGGAACAGACGATTCAGTATCATGGGAACCAGTGGAGAACGTCGATGGAGCTGATGACATATTGGCGAAGTTCCACGAACTTCACCCTACTAAGCCGAAGGAAGGGCGACTGCGAAGGGCTAGGAGATAGAACGTACTGCATACAACATAGGATTACAGCTACGTACCGCTCACTTGTCCTTACTCTTACCCTTACCTTTTCCTTTTCCTTTCTCCTTCGATCTACTCGGTCCCGCGGGATTGGTGTGGAGGCTACCGATGACCGAAGGTAGATCGAGAGTCTCAGACGGGAACGCAGTAGAGAGAGAAGCATTCCATGCCCGATTCATAGCCCCAAAGAAGTCACCGAAGTCCTGGACATCTCGAGCAGCTTGCATGCTCGGGGTCCTCCACAGAGAACGTATGGTCCGTAGACACTCGAAGGGAAGACTGAGGAGGTCGAGAGCAGTCTGGGCGGAAGCTGGGACACGAGAATTACTACGGCGACCTAACCAGTCAAGGGACGGTGGTGGCTCATACGCCATAGGAGTGACTAGGAAGGGGGTGTCGAACAGTCTTCGGCGAACATCGGCTATCTCAGTAAGGCTTCGGCGAGAGACGTCCGCTAACCTTGTCCTTGCTTCGTCGTCCAGAGCCCCAGTGTTGACTACATCTACTAACGCCGCAGTAAGATTGTTTAAAGCGTTAGCTTGACGAGAAGAGAAGTCAAGCAGGAGAGATGTATCATTTCGGGCGGCCTCAAGCTGAGTAGTGAGACCGAGGACGAGAGAACGATAAGTGGCGAATTCCTTTTCGTCCTCAGGAATACGGACGTCCAGGGAGATACGAGGGTGGACGAGGGACAACCGGGGAGCAGAGGGACCAGCACGCTGAGTATCTTCACCTGAGTATCTTCATTTTCCACATCACCATCATTGAAGGCAACCTCCTTCTCTTTAGATTTCCCTTTTGATTTCTTTAAAGAAGACTTCAGAGGGAGGGGTGACGGGAGGGGCCGCCGAAGTGGCCGGAGGAACAGAAGGACGCCGACTTCGGGTGCTGTGAGCCGGGGGAGAAGCTACCACTGGAGAGGACGGACGTGGCGCCGAAGGACGAGAGGCCGAAGAACGAGAGGCCGAAGGACGGGAGACCGAAGGACGGCGAGAAGACGAAGGAGGAACAGCCGGGAGACGTGATGGGCCGGCCACAGGAGCGAAGGGCGAAGGGCGACGGCGACGGAGGCGACGGGCGGAGGTCCGGCGAAGTACGGCGAACCGACCGGAGAGACGAAGGAGGTACCCGCGAACGGGGGACAGACGCTGGAGTCTGAGGAGGGGGGAAGGGCGAAGAGTCGGAGGGACGGGGCGGGATGTCCCGGGCAGAGGAAACGGGACAGAAGGAGCAGGGGCCAGACGTGCATGAAGCACAACGGAGGGCCTTGTTGTGTGGCCTGACTGCCTTGAGGCAGGGCCAGTTTGGACGATTATACGTGATAATCTCACGTCTACTAATTAGCAGGAGTAACTTCGGCGTAGTACGAATAGGTGGACTCACCGGCAACGATCACACGCTTCGTCAACACCAACCGCGATCCAACGACCAGGCTCGGACTTCATCTTCTCCCACAAGTACTCTTCTTCCCGCAGTGATCTCTTCACCCGTTTGGGCGAAGGCTCCCCTCTGGGAGAAGGGGGGGGAGCAGCGACGGGGACGGCGGCAGCAGGACCGGCGGCAGCAGCGGCGGCAGCGGCGGCAGCGGCGATGGCGTTGGGGGGGGGGAGAACCCCGGAAGAGGAAGAAGAAGAGGAAGAAGAAGAAGAGGAAGAAGAAGAAGAAGAGAGGGAACGGCGTCGTTTCTGGCCCACAATTTGAGCAGGGGGAGGGGCAGGACCGGCTGCGAGTTAGCAATGTCTTGGAGAGCTAAAGAACAGATAAACAAGGCCAAGTTCGGCGAAGGTGTGAGAGGTTGGACGAAGAACTCACGCTCAGGACTATCTACGTTGTTGTCCTCTACACTAACCGCCACCATATCATCATCCGAGTGTTCCTCTAACTCGGTTTCACCCTCCGACACGATTCTATCATCCTCATCACTATAATCACCCCCTTTTCCTTCGAAGTCTGACTGATCGTCCGACTCCGAACCACTGAGCGACTCCTGGTCGGAGGAGGACGGAGACTCACCAGGACGAAAGGCGGGCGTCCTGCGGCGAGGACTGTCGGCAGGAGGGGAAGCAGAGCGAGGACCAGGAGGAGGAGAAGCAGAGGGAGAACCAGCGGGAGGACCGGCGGGAGGAGAAGCGGAGCGAGGAGGCGGGACATCGCCAGACGGCTCCCCCAAAGAGAGGGTGCCGAGGCCGAGGGAGGAGACTTGGCGAGATCTGTCGCCGAAGGAAACTGAACATCAGCCAAGTCCGGCGAAGTAAGGTAAGTGTCGAGGAATAACTCACGAGCAGACGACACCATACCACCAAAGTTCCTCATGGCGGCGAAAGGGTTAGAGGTGGGAGTAGGAGGGGCCATGACGTTAAAAATACTTAAAGAAATAAAAGATGATTCAAGGTAACAAATCTGTTTTCTAGGTAAGAGAGATAGAAAGTTTTGAAAGCAGATGGGAAAAAGAGAGAAGCTCGACGAACTGCTCAGTATTTAGTATAATCAAACCTAAACCCTCGTCGTCAACATGCAGCAAACTTCGCGTTTCATCAACAAAAGGCATCGCAGGGACGATCAAAATTCCCACGCTATAGTGTCTCATCTCAATATAAGCGAGGGTTACTTCGACAAACAACGGTGTTGTTCGGCTGCCATTCAGGAAGCGTGTCTCACCTACAAAAGACACAGGGCTTCTTACGGCAAACCTCGACGAAGTTAGGGGAGTCTCATTGTCGGGTTTTGGAGTGAAAGGAGGCCCAACTACGAAGTGCGGCGCAAAGAGCAGAAGGGTGAAGGATGGTCATGGGGAGGGAGAGAATGGGGGTACTACGCTGCTAAGTTCTCTTGACACGACAGAGGTGTAATCGCTCACGAGGACGTTCGCGGCTAAAGAAGGGGGCGACTGTCACGAACTACGTCGCGACACCTCGATTACTCCACCAACAATGACCCTCCTTTGGCCATCAAAACCCCATCACGCCCTAACCTCTTTACTCTACACGTAACTCAGGACTTCTGACACCAAGTACGGCGAAGTTAGACGGAGTTAGGCTAAGTAGGAACAATGGGAGCAGAAGTACGGCGATGTTAGGCGGAGTTAGTCTAAGTAGGGACAATGGGAGCAGAAGTACGGCGAAGTTAGACGGAGTTAGGCTAAGTAGGGACAATGGGAGCAGAAGTGCGGCGATGTTAGGCGGAGTTAGTCTAAGTAGGGACAATGGGAGCAGAAGTACGGCGAAGTTAGACGGAGTTAGGCTAAGTAGGGACAATGGGAGCAGAAGTGCGGCGATGTTAGGCGGAGTTAGTCGAAGGAGGAAGAGGATGGCCGAGGGCTCGGGGAAGTTGGACGAAGTGCGTTGAAGTACGTCAAAGCGCGAGAGGGTTGGATGAACGTCTAGGAGGAGTAGATAATATTAGCTGAGAAGATCGCTGAAGTTCTTCAGCGATCCTTGATTGTTGTCAGTAGTGAAAGACAGATAGAGATAGCTATAAATCAAGATACATCGCCATCAGTAGAACAAAACCCTAGTTAGAGTAACTACGCCGAAGTACGCCGTAGTTACACCCCTTTCGACGTCTGCGCCCTCCTGGTTGGGTGAGACATCGACTCAGAGCGTGAAGTTAGCCGAGGTTCGTCGACCGTCGGTCTATTAAGAAATAGTTGTTCGACGGCCGTGACACCGAGGTTTGTCGACCGTTGGTCAGTAGAGAAGAAGAAACGACGATTGTGACAACATAGCACCAGAGACACATAGATTTCTACGAGACTTCCATCGAGTTCGACCCAACCTGCGACCTAGTCATCATGTTTCCAGTACCGTTACACTTCTCCCCATGTATGTCTAGTCGTTCCATGGCCATGAGTCGCTGTCTGCTGGACGTTGGGTTGAGCTTTCTACTTGAAGGGGGTTATCAAGGGTGCCGAGAGCACTGGTCAGTGTTTTAAGATTGTAGCTACTGTTCTCTTAGTTGCAGAAAGTGTCAAATTTGAAGACCTTGGTCGAGTGTATGAGAAGAGTGGAAAGGGGGATAAGCCATGTGGTTGCCGGGCCTAATTCCTTGGCCCGTGCATGCCTAACGGCCAATCAAGTGATGATGTTCTGCGTGAAGAGATTTTGTGTTGTGCACAAAGTTGGCTTTGCCCAAGACCTAGGAAGAAGTGTTCTTGAATAGATAGAAAGCTCTTTTGGGCACCAGTCGACTACTGGGTGTGGTACACGTTCTGGCCATATAAGAATTCTGTTATCAGTTGAGGACCGTGTGTCAATGAATGTCGTTCTTTGGAGTTGTGTGAGAGTGTCACCAGTTGGGGATTGAATTCGATCAATAAGCAACCGGTGGTTCTTATCCCCCAAAATTATCTGACCTGCTGGAACCTCCTTGGATCCCACACTGGATCCCACATGACTCATAGTGACCAGTACTGGTGAGACCATATTCTTGAGTTTTTCCACTGCCAATCCTGGCACCTGAATTTGTGGTGACACTCTTCCTTTGTGATCCCAATGGATATATTGAGTGAGATTAGTCTCCACAAAGAGGTCTATGGTCATAAAAGGTTCATGATGGGACCTATCACTATCATTGCCAATGTTATCTTGGTCTTCTTGATCCTTTTTAGGATAAGTCACTACACTACTGATCTGATATTGAAATTGCAAGTCAAATTGAGGAGTTTTGCATGTATGAACTATTTCTGCCTCCTGGATTTCAGAGGGCTGGGTCTCAAACAGCTGTATCAATCGTCTGACGTTATTGTCAATGTTACTGTTCCTGACCAGGCTTTTGGTTCCATCAAGTTGGAAATACTCCTGCTGGTGGACGTCCATGTCAAGCCCCCACTCCAAATCTGACATAGAGGGACAATTGAGTATATACACTTCATGAACAAGTTGAAGACTTGATTGGTATTGTTCACCTTCAGGCTGAGGCTCTGGGAAATCTTTGATCTTTTTCACATAAAAATATTTGTTTGCCTCCGCTGCCTCCGGATTATCAATGTCGTCGTTGTCCATGTACTGCATGGCCATTTCGGGGAGGCCAAAGTGTGTAAAGACCGATTGAAATGTTGTACTGTTATTGAAGCAGATCAATTTCATTGGGTGACCGCGCTCATCTGATATCCAGACAGTACGATTGGCCATAGTGATTTAGCTTATGGTGATATGGAGAGGTATAGCTCAACTCCTGTTTCTCACTAGTCTTATAACATATTTGGTGAGGGTGATAGCGCTTTGACGGAAGGCCCATGCGATGAAAGGATCGATCATCGCCATCCAAACTCGAGGCGTGGTAAGAAGCGGAGAATATCAAGGATGTATCAAAGGTGGGGTATCTCCAAGGGGAAAACGCTCGGGTAGCAAGCGTATGTGTAATCTGCATAGCCCCGGCCTGAACGGACCAGAGCGACTCGTCTGATCGCTTGGTAACCACGATCAACGTAACTTCCATCATCATACGCCATAAATCCATCGGATCACAAAACAGAATCACTGACGAAAATCAGGTACAGCTACTGTATTTTGGTCACCATGTCAAATTCTCTGCATATTCTCAAGATTCCTAATTTGCCTTATCTCTCTCAAGTCAACTTATAAAGTTATTGATGATGTTAAGGTGATCCTCCTCATTCGGGTAAATTGATTTCCCATTACAACGATCCAACCAGATGGCTTGCGTTACTGGACTTCCCGTAAGCGTTAGACAAAACATCGTAGTTTGCCCATGACGGGGTAGATCGAAGATTCTCTAGTAATTCCGACATCAAGTATCGGCTCCCGTCAAACTCTGCCTGTTCGGTCCTCACATGTGCCAAAGTGATCTGAACGGGTGAAACCAAATGATGGTAATCTTCAACTACCAAACCAGGAATCTCAATTGTTACGTCCCTTTCATTGTTCTTGACATATTGGCTCAGATCTTGATTCACATAAATAGTATGGATCTTAAAAGGAGGAATCGACTCATCTTTGTCCTTATAATCAATTTCGACCAATTCTTTCCCTTCGAGCAATTTTTCTCGTGATACAGTATCGGTGTTCGGATAAGTCTCTATCTTACTTACCTGATATTGCGACATCGTAATGATATAATTCGGAGGATCTCCGGTAACATAAGGATCTCCGGTTACATGAAAGACACTTTCTTTGAGGTACATGATCCCAGCAGGATCACGATCAAATGTATCGATCAAATGTATCATGGTTTCGTCGACGTTATTGTTCCTCTCGACTCTTTCGGAAAACGTGCGGATCTCTTCAGAGCATTCTCGAGGAGATTTCGGTTCTTCCCACTTTGAATAGTTTTTATCGGAGTTCGCAGAGATTCGAACATATATATAAGGAAAGTAACCTAATGTTGCTTGATGAATTCCACCTTGAGGTTGAAGTTTGCTTAGGAATTGGATCCTTTGAACTTCAAACTTGTCAGGAATCTCTTCGTTATCTACACAAACCCCATCTTGTGATATATCTCCCTCTCCAGGATAGTTGTCATCATTGGAAGATTCTTCTACTTCCTTGAGCAAACCAAATCCCTCTTGAATTGTGGAGAACATACTTGCATCATGGATGAAACTCACTCGATATGGGTGACCGTTAGAGGTGAACAGAGTGTTAATGCTACTCATCGTGACTGTTTGAGAAGTGATTAGTTTGCTACTGTAATATACGAAAGTGTTAGTTCGACTCTTGAAGAACTGTCAAGTTTATATATGATGGAATGAGGATCTTGAAATCCTGATGGAAGGTCCATGGGATCTGGAAATCTTGATGGAAGAACTATAGGGATAAGAGGTTGAACCGTTATCCTTGTGGGCCTAGCCGCTCAAAGCCCGAGTTGGGAATCTTCTTTCCCAAAGTTTTACCTGCCGGTAAGGGTAGTTTTACAACTAGTTCTGAATGACCCGATCACCACGGAGGATGATCTAATCGCTTAGTAAGTATCACGATAGTCGTCCCTTTGATCTTCATACGTACTTCAACGACACAAAGAGTAAATCTCGTTTAACCGAATTCACGTTTACCTAATCCTTGCCCAGGCCCAGGGAGTTTGACATGATCGGGAACTTTGTGTGTCTTGTTTCTTGTGATCACCTGAGAAATTCTGACAAAGTTGGAAAGTTGATGGATAATCAACTTCGAAGATGGACATGATACCTTATCAAACTCACAATCCCTCGGATAATTCTCACGATATCACCCGATAGCTCTGACCATGATGGCCTAGATCCTGGAGAAGGTGAGTTCGCTTGGGCCATGACTTCGTGAGATTCAGTAGCATATCATCATTGTATACGAGGAGCGGGACATGTAATGAAGCTTGAGGTGGGTCATGAAGTGAGACCCTTGGGTGCGGCCAGGGATGGTTGACCCTCCGGCGTCTGAAATAAGCTCTCTTTTCTCATATCGGCTCGATTGCGGGAGAGAAGAGAAGCCTGGGACAGACGGAGGTGCAGGTGAGTGAGGTAACGAAAGGTCTGTTCGTAAAGCATGAGGAGGATAAGGCCAGGAGAAGTTTGAGTCGTAGAGAATGACGGATAACGTACCACATAGCAAGCATGAAGACCACCATCGACCATAAAGTCAGTCCCGTTTATGTAAGATGAATCGTCCGAAGCCACTGTCGGTCAGCTCTGTGTGTATTACTAGTCACGTTCATCGTGTTGATTCGTGGTGACTTGATTGTGATTTGACGGTCTCAGTAGATCAGAGTAAGGGGGAGGGGGAACGGCAGGGTACTAACAGAACACCACCGCTTTGGCCTGCTCGACAGCCTCTCCAAAACGTCCCATGGGGTTATGCACCAGGCGCCTGTTCAATTTCTCTGGGGTGTTGAGGAAATCCATCAATAGAGGCGTACGAAGGGGACCACTGGATAATTAGCAGTGTCACGTCAACATATCGCGTGCCTTCAGGCTGGTGATGTCAAGTTGGCGAAGCTGAGAAGGGCATGGAGGACCGACACTCACGGACAGAGAGAATTGAAACGGATACCCTCGCGTGCATGCACCATGGCCAATTCACGGGTCATGGCCATGACAGCGCCTTTCGAAGCGGTGTCTGAAGGTAAGTCACAACATATCCGAGTTTCCACTTATCCACTTGCGCTAGGAGGGGCGGGGCTATCGAGCAGTCAAGGCTAGCAAGGGGGGATCACCCGTCAAGTATCGATTTAACAAAGGTAATCATGAAAAGGCAGAGGTGAGAAGCGAGACGGTCGAGAACGGTCCGGGATAGCGGAGGCTTTGAAGCCATATAACTCACACGCGAGCTGAGGTGTAGCGGCACCTAGCTTGGCCACGAATGATGAAACGTTGATGATAGACCCTCCGACGTTGAGTAGTTTCTCCGGTTCAGGCTTGTTCTACTGATCAGTGTACTTATCAAATCAAGTCTTGTTCATTGTTCTAGTCACCAAATGACTGAGGAGCTGAGAGACGAAGACATGTCGAACCCACCTTGCGCATCGCAATTACAGCATGCTTGCAGCCGTACCACACACCCTTGACGTTGATCGCCTGAGTGAGATCCCAAGTCTTCTCCGAGGTGTTGACAGCGTCATCGTCGCTATCATCAGCACGATCTCGGGATGAGAGATCAAACCCACTCGGAGAGCATCACGCCGGCATTGTTGAACTGATGTCAGTGGTCTCCTCGCAGCACACACAGTACCGTAGTCCAGGCATGTGGGCAATCCAGAGTACGTTTAGAGGTAAAATTCAGGAGGTTTGATGGTTATGGAGAACTGAGCGGGAGGGAAAGTAGGCCTCACCATCACATCCAACCTACCCCACTTGTTCACCGCTGCATCAATCAAACCCTTGACTTCTTCTTCCTTGCTCACGTCGCACTTGATCGCCTCCACCTCCGCTTCTGGAAACAGGGTTTTTATCTTCTCAACGCCCGCTTGGACAGCGGCAAGGTTGACATCGGACAAGATCACTCGGGCACCTTCTGCTGCGAACTGGAGCGAGGTCTCGAGACCTATTCCGCTGATTTTGAGCTGTCACCCTTCCCTTTGATGGTCTCATCTGTCAAGCAAAGATTGAAGTGAAGGGAGACGTCATGAGGATTATAACTGAAGAGCAAACAAAAAGACTTGACAAGCAAATTGACGATGTTATCGAGTCGATGAACAAGCACAGATGACGAGAATGAAAGGAAGGAAGAGCTCACGAGCCAGCCCCAGTGACGATACAAACCTTGGCTTTTAGCTACGATTATTCTCAGAGAATAAGAACGTACCTTGTTGGGCAGTCTGAGCCGGGCAGACATGACGATAGCTATGTATGTTGAAGGTGGGAAGAGAGTAAATGTATAGGGAGGAATGTAGAGGGAGCGAGTTGGAACGTTATCTACTGACCATTCCCCCCGGTGATCGGAGTCACGTGATCCCAAAGTGCCACACTCCACTTTGCAACTTGCTTCCCCCACAAAACTTCTCTCACAACCCATCAAAGTCTATGTTACTCATACATCATGACAGACGATCCAGCGATGACCCCAAGGCCAGAAACGTCACTATCTGCTCGACCAGACAGAGCGGGAACAGCTCTCATCAAACCAGAGTTCGTTTCTCTCCTCCCTTCCCCCCCCACCCCCCCGACCGCAGCTCATGTTATAGGTACCTTCTTCATCCCACTCCCTTGGTAGACAATTCCTCCACAGCCGCACTCAACTCTACTTCCTCTCATCTGGATGTGGATGATGAAGCAGAAGGACGTTCTTCTGCTGATCCAAGAGAGGGTAAAAAAAGAAAGAAAGATAAATCTCGTACCGGTCAAAACAAGGCTCGTTCTTTCCCCGTCATCAGAGAAGCTGTAAGGATCTGTCGTTCATGGGAAACGACAGGATCATGTAATCGACCAGTGTGTAAATTCGCTCATGACTGGAGTATGTATCTATCGACTAGACCGGAAGATGTACATTTTGAACCTGATGGAAGGTTGCAGGATCAGGAACCTTATGTGGTTTTTGAAGATAGGAAGATAGGTGGGGAAGAGGGAGTGGGGAAAACTTTGGATTTGAACACTACTTGTCCGGTTTATAAGGACTTGGGGTATTGTCCTTTTGGTTGGAGATGTAGGTTTTTGGGTGGGCATGTGAGGAGGATAACAGAGGGGAAACAGGTGAAAACTAGTGAAGAAGGGGAATGGCAGTTAGTTGGGGGACAGAAAGCCGATGAGAAGGTTGGTTGGAAGTTTAAAGAGACAAATTGGCCAGATGGTGGGGTTCTCCATCGGCTCAGGACCAACACGGTGGGTCGTCAGTCATCTGATCCCCTACTCGCCCCAAACAGATCTGAAGAAGTTCATTCCACGTTGCCTCTTTCATTCCACCCCCTTTTTACATTCAGGGTTCTCCTCGTCGTCACTTAACTTTGTAGTCCAGCTGTGTAAATCATCAATTACTTTCCTCAAGCCTCACCAAGGCCTTTCCCCCAGCTACGCCTTGAGGAAGGGCGGGGGTGAAGTAATGCGTGAAAGACATCTAACATATAGTACGACTACCCCTTTTCTTCCAAATACCTACATCTCATCGAACCAGAGAAACAATTCACTCTCACTAGAAAACGTCCCAATCGATCTGGTGAGGAAGGGGAGGCGAATAATCAAGAGGGGGAAGAAGAAGCTATGAACGCCATGGAACAAAAGCCAGAGATAAAAGGATTGGTTGATGGAGAGGCTGAGGCGTTGGATGTACCTCTTCGTCCGGAGGAAAAGAGGAGGTTGAACTGGGAAGGAGGTTTATATCTTGCGCCTTTGACTACAGTTGGGAATCTAGTGAGTATTTCGACTCCTCACATCTGTCTAATTTTACCACAGTCGGCTTCTCAAGCTCATCTTCAATCTCTCTTCCTGAGATGCACATCTCTGTGAGGCTTGTTCTCGCAGATGGAAATCTCGTTCATCCTCCACAAATGAACAGATCCATGAATGAGAAGCAGTGAAGCTCACAAGTCAGCCTTTCCGCCGTCTATGCATATCATACGGAGCCACAATAACCTGCTCAGAGATGGCTCTCGCCCAGCCTCTCATCTTTGGTCAACAAGACGAATGGGCTCTGGTCAGACGACATGAAACAGAGCGCATGTTCGGGGTTCAACTGGCAGGAGGATATCCGAATAGGTTGGTACCTGCTGCTGAAGTGGTGAGGAAGGAACTCGGTCAAGGTGTTGATTTCGTGGACGTGAACTTGGTGAGTTTATCTCTCGACTCCTGCCCCTTAAGGCCTTATCGACTAGTACTTCTTCATGGCTGTCAACAGCCTCTACTCACCCCGCACTCACTTTGAGAACATGTCCACCTCCAATGGGTTTGTTCACTCGGACGATTGCTTCACCAGCTGCTTGGTCAGGAATACCAGACGCTAATCTTTAGGGGTGCCCCATAGACCTCGTCTTTAATCAAGGTGCTGGAAGTGCTCGTGAGTGTTCTCCTCTCTCTGGCGAACAGAGTCGCCCCTAATTTGATATCTTGACCTTACTCCGTATTTTGCCGAAAACGTTTCATTGATATCCCATCTCCGTCCAGTCTTCCGTCTCCGTACCTAAGACCTCGCAGTCTACTGGGGCTCTATCTTCTCGCCGGACACCCCTATCATATGTTAGATTTCTCGCCCGCACCAATTGACGTCCAAATTTCCCCCGTTGACAAACTGGGATCTCGATGATACGTCTAACATCCAGTACTTGACTCTCCCGGTCGATTAGGTAAGATATTAGTAGGGATGAATCGTGCCCTGGGAGATAGTGAGTTGTCCTTTTTTACTTGATGGCCTCGCTCATGTTCAGTACCCCTAACTGTTAAATTTGTTAGTTGTCAGTGTTCCGAATGGGTAGTAGCTGATGAGTAGAGAACAGGAGTGGCAAATGGGAAACCTACGGCTCATAAGTTGATCCCTCGTTTCGCTACGGAATGGGGTGTGGGAGCTATGACAGTGAGTTTGATCAGGCGTGATTTACTTTCTTCCCACATGTCATATCTCTCAATCTGTACTGCACACATCCCCACTTATACTCCATGAGTCTGGCTTGTGTCTATCTAGCCTATCCATAGTTCAGAACTTTCCCACTCCGAGGTTAGCAGCCCAGAGCTCTTAGAGTTATATCATCCGTTCAAATTTCTCAATGCAGTGAGGAATGGAAGTGGGGGAAATTAAGGAGGTATCTACAGTCCCGCATCTCTCAAGTACCTTGAAACCATGCTTGGGCCCTTTGTCTCCGAGAGTGTTACCAAAATGATGAAAGATGAAACAGTCAACTGTGAACTGATGTTCAGCTTCACGGTAGATCACGTCAACAACGTTATTCCAAACTTGCAGATTGGCAATATATCAAAACATGCGCTTCTATATTACGTGAATCCCTTTCCGAAGCGAACCTCCCTCCTGTGCCCATATTCGGTAATGGAGATTGTTTCTCTTCTCAGAGTTATTGGCAAGAAGTAGAATCTAGTGGTGTGGATGGTGTTATGGTAGCTAGAGGAGCTTTGATAAAACCTTGGATATTTACGGAAATTTCAGAAAGGAGAGAATGGGATATTACTGGTGTGGAGAGGTTGGAAGGTTTGAGGAAAGTGAGTGATACTTTTTTCCACACTTTAACCCAGCTCTCTTTGTGTCTCATCCCTTCTCTTTGTCTCATTTCTGACCAGATCTTCAAAATCAATCATCTCTGCTTTAAAAATACCCCAATCTACACTGTGATCCTTTCGACCCGGTACTACCCCCCCCCCCCCCCTCAATCCTCGTACGTGTCTTACGCTATTGGAATGTCTATGATCTCAATCAGATTCTGTGTCGACTAGATCTCCATCAATCCTGTATAAATCTCAATTTCACATGGAGTACCCACCGTACCATCCAATATGAAACTATCATTTCTCAACTTGATCAAAGGTCATTCCTCAACATGTCATAAAGATATGACTGAATCACACCCGAAAGAAAAACACAACCTGACCCCCAGTTCACAGAATACGGTCTTTCTCATTGGGGCTCAGACACTCAAGGTATAAATACAACACGTAGATTTTTATTAGAAGCTTTATCATTCCAACACCGTTATATACCTTTAGGTTTATTAGAAATTTTACCTGGTAAATTAAATGAAAGACCTCCGGCTTTTAAAGGTAGAACGGAATTGGAAACTTTATTATCAAGTCCTTTTGTTGGTGATTGGATTAAGATTTCAGAAATGTTTTTAGGTAAAGTAGATGATGATTTTAAATTTTTACCTAAACATAAAAGTAATTCTTATGGTGGTGAAGAAGCTCAAGGTTGAGGGTTATGTTCGATATGCATACTTCATACGTATTTTTCTGTATCTTCTTCGTCTTCTTCATCTTCTTCAACTTCATATTACCCTCTGAAATGTTTTTTCTATCAAGTATTCTACATGATACATGTCTCTTGGCCATTCTCGTCTTATTGTTACATGAGTTGAATTGAATTTCCTCAAAACAACAGCCGGCGGTTTTTTTTCGTATGGTCGAATGGAATTTGTTGAGTTTTGAGGGACAATCTATGTTGGGTTGAACTTGCATGATGCAGTGACTCGGGCCTAGTAGTCAATCATCAATCATCATGCATCTCATCCTGTTCATTGAGCATTATCATCAAGTCTATCATATCACTTTCCATCATCCTTGCGTACTCATCAACATGTAATGTTCATAAACTTTCACACTGTCCCTCCTCTCACAACTCTTCCTCACGTTTTCTCTCACCAAAAGGTCAATCTCCTACATATCCCACTTCTTGTCCCATGCCCCTTCAGCTTGATTTCTGGACTACCTGGGATGGGTTCAATCAGACAAAGAGGTCGAATGTGCAAGAGGGACCAAATCAGGTTCTTTCAGTAATTCTCATTTCACCCTGAGCGATACGGAAATGGTTGGTAAGGAATGATCATTCATCTTCCTCCTCCATCGCCGCTCGGAGTTCAGCAGCTAGTTCAGCTTCTGAGGGACCGGGTATGACTCGTCTGGTAGGGGAACGAGGGACGGCAGTATCGAGTATCTGACATTAGTCTGAGGTCCAACGAAAGCGTTGATGTCATATTGCACAGCGAGAGAATGACGGTGGTAACAGGAAACGATAAAAGCAATGTATATATTGTTTATAGATGTCGGAGCGGATACGCCGAGACCGACAGGTGAGGATGAGTGTTTGCAAGACGAAAAGACAAAGATAAATGAGAGAGAAATTCTACACACCTCTTTCTTCAATTGTTCCCCACTCATCTCCTCTTCATATTCATCATCATCAATCACACCCAGTTTCGTTCCTTTCCTGAATATCTCCCCTTCCTCTTCTACCCATTGTTTACTGACTTTCTCCACTGGACTAGAAGGGTTTTCATCCAATTTCATCACACCTAAAGTATCTTGAATTTGCTCATCTCGTCTCCCAAGTCTGACATCTCCCCCCTTTATTCCAAGGTGTGCTTCAAGTTTATTCTGTTCGTCCATCACCACGTATTGTTCTTTCCCCAACGCTTTTCGTGATGTTTCACCGACATTTGGATCAAGTATCTCCTTTCTTATTCCGCTTGTCCTTGGAGGAGTCAACATCTTATCTAATTTATCTTTCTTGGGAGTGGGAGAAGGAGATATTTCTTCCATGAACGAAACTTTTTCTCCTCTTGGTGAGATACTTTCCACGGTGGACATCAAAGAAACGTCTAATTCCTCAGCATCGGAATCACCATCACTATCCCCAATAGAGAAATTAGGACTAGAAATCTCTATACTTGGTATTCTTGTATGTCTTCTTCCTCTTTGTCCCCCTTCTCTCACACCCATACCTTGTCCTTGTGTTGTTGAGGAACTTGGTGTCCGTCCAAAGGTTTGATCGGTAGGAACAATTTGGCTCGGTAATAATAATCTTGGAGGAGCTACGAACCCTACTCCATTGTCTATATTTTGACCTAGAATATCATGAAGATTCAATAATTCTTGTAATCTTTCTTCTCCGGTTTCGGACTGAATTAACTCTATTAACCGTTCTTTCAAGGCTTTGGCGCGTTCGTAAAGAATCACAAAATCGGTTTTTGGTAATTGTCCAGGTTCCCACGGTTCAAAATTTCCTCTCGTTTTGGCAATCCTTCCAGCTTCGTACCATTTCTCTAAATCTTTCGTAGTTTCTTGCGCGATGATGGGTATACGGGGAGGTTGAAGAGTGTAGACATATTCCCTAGCTTGACCTTGAGGAGATAAAGCTTGTTGTTCTCTTTCTTTCTCTAAACGCATTTCTTCGGATTCTCGTACATGTCTTACCAATACAGATCGTTTGATAGGTGCCCAAACCGCTTCTTTACTTGATTCTTTCGTACCGGCCGCTGATTCGGTATTGCGGATACAACTTTGTAATATTCCCTGGGATAATTCTGCAAGATCAGGTTGATTGGGAGGGATGGACAAATCAAGACATCGGATGAGATAGTTGTTTTTCAATCCAACGGAAAGTGCGAGAATACCTGCGGGTTCGATAGAGGGGTTGGAGGTAAGGTCAAGATGAAGAAGGGATTTAGATTCGGGAAGAAATTCAGCTAGAAAGATGGAACCTTCTGTAGTGAGAGAGGTGTCGGATATGAACAGCCGTTTGAGGGTGGTGTTGACTGTGAATGCTGTCCGTAAAGCCGATACCTGGTCCGTCAGACAACAATTCAGCACATTTGACGAGGGAAGCTTACACCATCAAGAGCAGGACCACAACATGGATTAGAGCTTAGATCGAGAGTTTCTAGTGTAGAATTGTATTTCTGCATGTCATCAGCTTTGCTTGAAAGTATTGAAAGTAGCTGACCAGAGCTTCAGCCAAGGCCAGTAAACCGGACGGCTCAATCTTGTTGTCACTGAGATTCAAGACCTTCAAAGTTCTATTTCTCTTCAGGACTTGGGCGATATAATTGACTCCAGTCTGTATGTCAGCTTGTCTTCACCACCGGATCGACTCACCTTCAGATCATTCCCCTTCAGATCCAGAGTCAACAACCGTCCAATCCTCTCCACGCCGTCCAAAGCCCGTACACTTCGTTGCAAAGCCACACTCGCCCCTCCCAGGTCAGACGTGGAAAGCCTTCCCTCGGCCGGAGTAGGGTCCAGTACCGAGTGTGGACCATACTGCATGGGCGAGTTGCCTGCTGCAGGCATGACCAAGGGGTACTTTGGAGGAGGAGGAGGCTTGTAACCTTCAGGAACGGTACGAGTGGTGATGCCACCAGCGGGAGAAGAGGTGACCAGTGGGATTGGGGGGAGGTTATCGTCATGATTCACTGGACGTCGACTGCGTGGGACGTAGGCGGCGTATGCAGGGGTGGAAAGTGTTGAATTGAGAGATACAGAAGGTGAACTGTTGTTTGAAGGCGCAGTCGTATTCGATGGTGAAACAGAGGACAGAGCGGAATCGGGATAGTCGCGAATCATGAGGGCTAATGACACCCCTCCGAGTGGACCTATGCGATTACGTCGAAGGGAGAGATTTCTAATGTCGGACGACCGTAGACCTTGTGCTGGTTCGTATCAGCTCTACTACTGGAATGAAGGTTTATAATCTTCTCACCTAGAGCCTCCAAAGTCGCTCCTCGAAGACCACAGCCATCCAGACGTAAAGTTTGGACTGCTGCAGGCAAGTCGGTCTCTTCCACATCTTTGAGCAGTGGCGCTGGAGGGATGAATGTACCATAATGGTTTTCGTCGGGCGACTCCGTGATCTCCCCTTCCTTCTTGTCAGGAGGGTCAGAAGTATGGGATAGATCATTGGGAATAGAAGGATCGGGCACCTGTGCTTCTGATTTAGTCGGTGGCGAAGTACAGTGTAAAGCCTGAAGCAAGCCTTCCACGGATTTCCGATCCCAAGTGGTGTCTGACAAGTTGACAGCTTTAAGGGAGCGAGCCTATCCGTTAGCGACCTTGAGGAGACGAGAATGCAGTAAGAGGACTGACCTTCTTGAGGAATACACCCAATAGTCTCCAACCTCCGCTGCGGATCTTCTTATTCCCCGCCAGACTCAAAGAAGGCAAATTCCCGCTGACCAGAAGTGCATGTAAGATAGGCTTGAGGGCATCTTCACTCTCCAATACTCCATTCTCCAACTTGAGTTCCACCAGCCCCCATTCAATGGCGAGGACATCAGCAAATGCTTCAGCTGCGTGACGGTTCAGAGGAGCATCGAGGGCGTGAGGAGAAGGGGTGGAATTCCGCCCTGCGGTATCGAGTTGACGAAGGGTCAGATAGAAGTGACGTGGTCGAGGATGAGGAGGTAGCATCTATTCGAGTCAGCTAGCCAGTCGTCGTACTACTAGTTAACAGACCTCAAGAGTCCGCACAATCCCAACGCGTGGTCGCTCTTCTCTCCCCCGACAGGCCGACTCGTACAAGGCGACCAGTCGCTCTGAAGTCCAATATTGAGCGCCGACTGCGGATGTGACGAGGTTTCGATGAATAGATTCTATCTGCATTCCATCAGTCTTTTCTTTCCATATGACAGAGAGCACAATATATTTACCCGGTCACGATCTTCAATGACCTTGATGCTCCAGGGCTCGCCCTGTGAGCTTATGGGATATGTGATGCTCAGGGAGGGAAGCACGAAAGTCGCCCTTTTCAGAGGTTGTTTCTGCCTACTCTTCTCGGACATTGGTGGGACCGTTTGACCAGTATCAGGCAGCGAGGTCGATCTCACCGCTGGAGATCCGCCAGGTGTAGAAGGACCAGGGGAGCTTGTGCCAGCTACCAGGCGACTGAATCCCAGTCCGATCTTGCCGGACAGAGCGTTCAAGGTACCACTAATGAGTTGAGATTGAGATGAAGAAGAAGCAGTGGGAGTCGGTCCATTCGCCGGCCTGAGGGAGCTAAAGTCTCCATAGACGTCTTCGGCTAGAGGGTCAAAAAACGATTTGGCACTACCTCCCACGTTGACGACCATATCTCGAAGTCGATTTCCCAGAGACGGCTTTGCTGGGGGAGGTGGAGGTTTGAGGATGCCTTTGATCGGTTGGTCCGGTCGTCGACGAGTAGGTTTGGGTGGTAATGCGGGAGGAGAAGGTATATCTGGAAGAGACTTGGGTGCGGAAGAAGGGACGATGGGTTTTGAAGGGGACGAAGAGGGGGAAGACATGGTGTCAGGAGGTGTGTGCTGGGAGGGAGAATCAAGAGGTGCGGGAAGCGCTGTGACATTTGATTCAGCTGAGAAGCTTTGTGTACTCTCCCCTAGCTCAGTCTGTATCACCGGAGGGGGTGACCCCTCTACAGTGGTCATGATCAAGGATAAGGTGGGTATACATGTACAAGGTGGTAAAGGGCTGACGGTGTGGAGGAGAGACGTTGCGTCATAGTTAGGCGCGTCGGAGTAGGACTGAATGGTTTGACCGAGTATAAGATAGGCGTGCGATGTCTCCCTGACCAACCCCCTAATCTCTTTCTTTCACCTCACTCCATACATTTTCGCTTTTCCGACTTTCCTTTCAACTCCATATCGCTATCGGAAAACAGTCTATTGTCAATCCGTATACCTTATACTATATGTCATATTGAGAAACGAGTGACCGACTCACTTCTTGCCGACATGACCACCAACTTGAATGCCATCGCGGGGCCTTCTCGTAATTCAATGTCGCCAAAGGTCGAGCCTGATTCTCCCAACAGTGACCTTGCAGAGCTCAATGAACCCTCTCAGATCCAAGTCGCAAAAGGTGGTATCAGTGTCGGTGAGGATGGCGAGGTGGTCAAAGTCCCGGCCTTCCTCACGAAACTCTTCACGTATGTCCACGCATCCCTCCTCGTAAGCATTTGACTGAACCGACAGAATGGTATCCGATTTATCGACCAACGAGCTCATTTATTGGTCCGAGTCCGGAGATAGCTTTTTTGGTCAGTTGATGCCAATCATTTTTTGACCCGCTCGCTAATGAACAGTCCCCGATTCTGAAAGATTTGGTAAAGAGCTCTTGCCAAGATTCTTTAAGCATTCAAATTTTTCAAGTTTTGTCCGACAGCTCAACATGTAAGTATATTTTCATGTGTTGCGATAAGACTTATATTGGAGGTATGGGTTTCACAAAGTGCCTCATCTACAATCTGGTGTGCTCAAACATGACTCTCCATCGGAATTGTGGGAGTTTATCAATCCTTTCTTCAAGCGTGGTCAGCAACATCTACTATCTAGAGTGACTAGAAAAAACAATCGACCTATGCCAACCTCTGTCACTACGTCAGGAGCCACTCGAACAGGTCTCCTTCCTGGTACCGCCTATCCCGTCCACTTGATTACAGACGGTACGACCGAAGGTGAGATCGGCCAGGTGGTTGGCACGACGGGTCAAATCGTCGACTTGGCTGCTATCACCAATGGTATTGCTGCCATCCGTCAAACTCAGGCCAGCATCGGAGCGGACCTAAAACGTTTGCAAAATTCAAACGATATGTTATGGCGAGAGGCGATGGAACAGCAGAAAAAGCATCAGAAACATCAAGAGACTATCGACATGATTGTTGTATTCCTCGAACGACTCTTCGGCACTGAAGGACAGGGTTTGAAAGGTCTCAAGGAAGCTATGAGGAGAGGTGGATATGGTAGAGACGCTGAACCCGGTGGAAGTGATGAACCTAGGAAGAGACGTAGATTGGGAATAGATAGAATGATTGGTGATGGTCACGAAGCAGAACGTGATTCTAATGTCATGGAATTACCCAATGGTGAGTGTCTACCTTTCTTTGCCTTGGTATTTGCAATCTAATTTTCAGACCCGTATCCCGTTGCTCGATTCATGAACGCTGAACCTGGTGTCAGTCCCAGGGAACCTCCTCCGACAGCAGCAGAATGGCCATCTGCTTCTCAAAGGTTCACAGCTCTTCCGACCGATGAAGACCCACCTTCTTCCCGTGTTTCTTCGACTTCCGCTCGACCCGTCTTATCTCCTCTTAGCGACGTGGAAGAAATACATCCCGTCCCTGAAAATGCAGTAGGACAATATTTGAATATTCAACCTAATCTGAACACTGGTAATTTACCTCCACTTAGTCCTACCTCCGCCGCTCAAGCTGCACAAACTTTTAATCTCGATCCGGCATTACTCCAAACCACTATCGGCTCTCTTCTCCAATCACCTGCGGCTGCTCAAATGTTCCTCAATTCACTCAATGCATCCGCGCAAGGTCAAGCTTTACAATCCCCGACTCGGGGAAAGAACGCGGTGAACGTGCGGCCGTCTCCACCGTTGGGTGACAATGTCGACCCTACTTTAGCGCTCTTCTCACCATTCCCAAATCAATCATTGATGAATAATCAGAACCAGTTGTTAAAGACATATCAAGACGCTGTGGCGGTGAATGGTGGAGTGGATGAATTACAAGAAAGCATTGATGCTCTAGTCAGGAATATGGGGTTGGATTTGCCTAAGGGTGGGCAGAAGGTCGAGAATGTACAGCCTTTCCCTGTGGAGCAAATGGGACAAGTCGGTCAGACTGGGGTTGTTGGACAAGGAGGAGAACCGGGAGAGTTTGAAGATTTCAACATTGATGAGTTTCTGAATGAGTTGGCGAAGAATGGTCCGGAAGGTGATCCGTCGCATCCTGTGTGATGTTTGGTGTCTTTCATATATCATATCTCTTTTATACCCATCGACATCTGCCTCTCTCTGTCCTGGTACTTTTTCCTACATATCAAACCCAATCCACGTGCACTCCCTAATCATCTAGAAATAGCCCTCTCTTTCTTAGAATTGTCTCTCACACCTCACATGTCTTACTTTTGATCTGAAGAGGTCATTGTCTCTTGCTAGTATAGAATTGGCATCGGTACATGCAAGATGTGTATATTTCATTTTTCCGCTGATCCACATATTTCTCTACTTCTTTCCGAAACATTCGTCTACTAACTACCCCTTATCCCGATAAGCCTTCTAATCATTTAGGTCCTCATCCGTCACCTTTTCCCCCTTTCACTGTCCCTCGTTCACCTTCCCACTTCCTTTCCTATTATCCCAGAAAGTCTCGATGAATCCAACATTTCATCGAAAATACGCAAGGCAAAAAGAGATGGAGAGACAAGACGGATGATATCTACCACAACCTCTTCGCACCGGCTTTCCCCAATTCTTCCGAAAAAGCTTTTGTCAACAAACTCATATCCAAACCTAAAATAACACCTTCGTATCCTTCTTCCGCCGCTGCTTTAGCTTGATCACCAGGAGCCCAAGCGATCACCGGAACTCCGGCAGCTTTACCAGCTCTGAAGATACGTTCGACACCATTGATAACTTCTGGTGCTGATTGAGGGAGAGAGCCTAATGAAAGGGCGAGGTCGTATTGACCAATGAAGATTGCGTCTGAGGTGAGTTAGACATGATCCTCCCCTATGTTCTCTTATCGATGTGATACATCCGATCTCATCCTCCTGGATCTACCCAGAGATGAGGGAGCTCAGGAGGGGAGGATGATTTTTGTCAATATTGGAACTTATGGAAATCGTTTGACCCAAGTAGGTTCATTCACTTGAAATGGATGATGCGATGATGATGAGATACGAAAAACAAGAAGAACGAGAATCTCGAAGCGGTACTCAATGTTTGGTTTCCACGATGAAATGATGAGTAGATAGTTGTGGGGCTGTAGGGAAGAATTACGAGAAAAACTCACCAAGACCAGGAACGGAAACAATCTCTTCGATGTTCTCCAAACCTTCTTTAGTTTCGATAATCGGTATGACCAAAGTTGAATCGTTGGCATATTTCCAATATTCTTCTTGCGTCAAAGTTCTTCCATGTGGTTCTAAATGGAATGCTTGAGTATGGAATGAACCACCTGAAGTTCTACCACCTAGAGGAGGGTATTTAGCACGGTAGACTACATCTTGTGCTTCTGCCTGTTGAGTGAGTTCGTGTTCTTCGCTCCTGTTATGGATCACCATTTCCCTGTCCCTTTCTTTCCCCCCTTCTTCGCCGTCCGCCCCTTACCCTTTATTACCCCCTCAGCTGCTGTGGTCGCTCTTCATGGATTATTGAATAAAGTCACCTTATCTGGTCCCTCACGCACTGGTCGATATTCCGAAATGGGATAACTTATCACGCGGGAAGTCGACGTCCTGACATGGCAAGTCATAAAACACCTAGTCCGAATCTCCGAGAAGAGATTTACGAGAATATGAGAGATGAGGATGGAAGAAGAAAGAGAGAAGAGGATGAGAACTGACCTTAGAACCAAGAAGAGGAATCATGATCCCATGAGCACCAGCATCAAGGGCAACGCGAATCCCCCACGCTTCACTTCCCATACCTGGACAACGTGCGATCTGATGTCAGTCTTCATCCCTTTACTTACAATCCGCCTTCCGTCCCTTGCCAAACATTTTCTCGTTGCCTCCTGCTCCTTTTCAAGGCTTTTTACAACTCTTCTCCCTCCTGTCCTCTTTTTGGAACGACATTCCCTCTGACTCCAAACAAGTGACTACGGCTCAAACTCTCTTTTGTATCTCCCCACCATCGAACAAAAAACCAGCGCTTGATATCTCCCAACATCATCCTGAAGAATACCTCACGAGTTATATGATGGATAATGGAAGAACCGAACTTACTGGGGAAACACCAAGAGAGGCAATAGCATGAAAAGTATCTTGGTTCTCAGATTCATGGTAATTACCATGTTCACTATCCGTCACAATGAACTATTTCATAAGCTTTCTCTTTCTTTTCCCTATTTTGTTGTCCATTCCTTGTTATCAATCATCACATTCGCCTACTCATTCTTACGTTTTCTTCCGCAGAAAATCCCCAACATCAAAAACTCGATATTTACATCTAAACGTGTGTGTGGATATTGCAAGACCGAATGTTGACAGTAGAAGAAGCGAGAGGAAAAGGCGTGATATGTAAGAAACGAAATACTCACATCAAGTCCATATCGTTTCAAACCTGCTAAAGTCCTAACGAGACTCAAACCAGGAGCTTTGGTGATGATACCGAATGCAGGTCTACCTTCTGCCCAAGCACGTTTAATGTGGTTTACACGTTGAGGGATGGTAAGTTCTTGAGACATGATTATTGTCTGTTCTCTTTTTGACCTTCTTTCAATCAATCAGCCTGGTCTTTGGTGACGATTTGAACGGATGGATAATTTTTGTTTTGAACGGCGGGGTGAGTCCGATTGTGGAATGATATGAAGGGGAGGAACGGTAAATCGGGTCAGGAGTTGCTATAGTATTGAGGGAAGAGACGAGTGAAGAGATGTATAAGGGTATATACGAAAAAAGCACGAATCATCACGTATATGTGGAGGTTGAACGTTTTTCCTGATTACTTGCTTGACGGTAAAAGCATCAAAGAGTTGTGGAAGAAGATGTGACGGTCAGGCACGATGACACCATCGGTCGCACGGAGCACATCATCCGGTATGGACAAGCCGGGTTGTGACCTACCAATCTACAATTCCTGACATGTCGTCTGCCAATTGGACATTGCACGAGGGATAATCACAACACAGTGACCAAAGAAACCGTCGACTCGGGGATTCTAAGTGGTGGGATGTCTCATTTGGAAGATGGACAAGCAGATGACACAAGAGATACATCAAACAAGTATATACGAGATTTTTCTGAAAGATTACTTAGTTCTAACTACTCTTTGGGAACTTCTGCCATAGCTGCAATTCGGACCACATGACGACGTTCGTCACCTGATTATGAGCTTGTCTCTTGGGTTGAGAAAAGGGGAAAAGACTGACCTTTGAAATCGTATGTCGCTGTGTGAAGGACGACACGGCTGGAACATCAGTATTGATCCTCTGTCTTATCGACTTCCGTAAAAGTCTACTTCATGATGCCATACCTTCGGCAAGAAGGGAAGGGGTAAGAATTTGTGGTGAGAACTCTGGAGGGGAGCGGTATGTGATACTAAGAGCGGAGAAAGAGAGGAGTAGACACGATAAGTGAAAGGAAAGAGATTAAGATGAAGTGAACGACAACTCACTTGTCCCAAACGGCAACAGTACCAGGTTCATATTTGGCTCTAGTCTGGAAATCACCTCCCTTGACTAAAACATCTCCTAGGAATTTCAAGAGATATTCAGATTCTTCTTGTTTGTATCCATCCACACGAACCATATGACCTTGTTGTTGAACTTGAATAGATTTTTCTCCGGTTACGGGATGAGTGCGGACTAGCGTGTCAACTTTTATCGCCGTTTTCTCCTCCATACCTCGAAGCTTTTCTTCTTCCCTGTCGTCCAACTTTAACTTCGTTATCATGCATCAGACCTCATCTGTGGAAAGAAGCCGAGGTAGAGGTGATTGGGAAGGAAATGAAGCAGCCGGAAGAGACGAGGGAGAGGACTATGGTTAGAAGCGACAAATGGTCACTCACTGAGAGGATGTTTAGTAGTCAAAGGTGAAAACCTGACGGGTCCATCGAGAGAAGCGGATTGTTCTAACATTCCAGCATTACTATGAACCAATTGAAGACCTTCAAGACGTTTTTTGAATTCGTCACTCAACTATAACCATTAGTATTGAGTATAAACAAGAAAAGTTGACATACCCTATTGTAGGCTTCGGTGAGTGAGACGAAGAGAGTATCTCCTCCGGCCTGTCATATCAGCGACTTTTCCCTTTCACCTGGTGTACCTGTCTCATGGCCAATAGGTACTTCATGCGGTAGGATGAGCATGGATCTTGCACACTGACCCAGAGACCAGACCGGTGAGATGGTCGAAAGTGGAAGGAAGGGGAAAAGAGGACGGAAGAAGAAGAAACTCACCTCGGGAGTCTCAAGAGCAAAGAAGAATGTAACTCCAGGGGGTTGAATCTCCGCGGTATGGTCCATGTGCCAACTGACAGAAGAGACTTTGGGCACTTGATTAGGTTTGATATAACGTCTAAGAGTTAAGTGATATTCCTTCTATCTCGAACACTCGCTCTTAAGTTACAGAGCAGAGGGGAAGCTCACTTGATAGTTGCATCTTTGCCATCACGATAAACGACGTGCATCTGAACATTAGCTCTGGTTTTAGTCACATGAGATGACGATTGAGATGATTTTAGTGATCAAAGTTGGAGTGAGAAGGGGAAAGAGAGGAATACAAACTCACCTCTGGATATCCGGGAGGATGTCCCTACTCGTCAGTCTCATCTCTGCACCAACAATAAGAACAGCGTACCATGACCTAATTTGTCAGCTTAGAACCAAAGGAAATGGCCAGCTTACAGGATGAACGTGAAGTCTTCCGAAATGTCTGACAACTTCCAGTTGACGATCCGGACCGACATCCTATCCACTCAGCTATTATTCATGTTCAGTCGGTAGGTCGTACCTTGAAATCTTGGTCACGGCTTGAGAAATCAGCAACCATAAGTTGTCAAGGGAGGAAGAAAAACTTACAAGATCAAAAGACCACGTTCGGCGGCTAGAAGGGCAAGATCGTCAAGACCTTCTTTGGTCAATTGCGAAAGTTGAACTCCCTGTCGTATGTCAGCTGACTCGTCTCCTTCTTGCTCGCCAACTTTGTGTGTCTCATAAATCCTGGCCGAGACATTGATTTTCTTGATCCTAGCCGGTATGACGTAGGCGCCAGAAGCTTGTGAGAGGGAACAATTTTACGAGTCCGTTTAGACTCACTCGGATTTCCTCCCCAATCGCAATAGTCAAAGGTTTATGAGTCGAACCTGGTCCAAACAAATGCCTCTTGTCAGGAGTTCCGAAATGACCTCTATCAACAAACGGTACTTCTTCCCAATCTGGGAACTTTGATTTCTCCCATACTGGTAAATAAGCTGGGTACTTTGGACCCTGATCCGTCAGTGTTTCCGATTTCTTTCACTCAGCATTCCACGAGTATAGAATGCTGGGTTTTTGACTTACATCTTCGGCATTTGGACTATCTCCTCCTACAAGAGTCAAACTAGCGACTCTTTTCGCCACTTCGGCAGGATCGGAACTTGCGTTGGTATCGGTTTCCAATTGAGTTGCTGACATTTTCTTTAGATCGTTTCTGATGATTTATTCACAAAGATCAAAGTTGATAGTTGAAAGTTGATGGGATGTATGGAGGACTTTTCTTTTCCCGTATGAGAGATGAGAATAAGAGTGTAAAAGTGGTTAATTGTGAACTTTTCTGTCTTGAGAAAGAAATCGGTACTCTCCGACTGGTCAGAGAAGGGTATACCCTAGATGTCGACACACAAGAGTTGCGTCAAGATGTGATTATTCCACGTGAGAATTGTATTTTCATCATAAATTTCTTATCTCTTTTTCTCATTTCGCCATATAACGTTTATTTCCTTTCAGTTCAATGTTAGTTTTACTCCATCAAACGTCATTGATCAGATTGAAAGTGGAAAAGAACCAATCGGTAAAAGTTACCGATACGCACGAACCAAAGTTTGAAAGTGGTACAAGTATGATCTTCGGTGGCGCCATTTCTTGAGAATTCTCCGTAAAGTGCCACAACAACTAACTCTTCTTCTGCCTTTTCACCTTTCATCTCTTTCAAAGTGAAAGTCACGCCATATTTCGTACCGACAAGCTTTCATCACTCGTACTGACTCCTCTCTTCTATCCTAAGGTGTACGAGGAAAGAGAGTCGGAAGGAGAAACTAAGAAGCGGAAAGACGAATGAGACGGATGAAACGGGCCGAAGCTGACTCACCTCCCGAGTCATGCCATGAACCAAGGACTAGACAGACAGGTGGTCTCGGTGCTTTGGTACCCCGCTGATTCGTCGATTGAAGCACGCCCTGGAAAGGGTGAATGGCGACACATGACTACTCACTCTTCTTCATCGCTGATGCGACTTTGACCTCTGATAGAATCTATATGTTGAGCTTTTCTTCTTTCTTTCTTTTTTTCTTCAAGTCCTGAAAGATTCAATCCGACATATCCATATAGTCCGTACTGTTGGAACGATTAGCTGAAAAAGAACACCTCGTTACCAGATACTTGGAAACGAAAGGATACGTCGATCTTCGATTGGAACGAATAGAAACATCTAGATCGACCATCAATCAGAGAAAGGAATAACAATCATGTCTGAAACACGTATTCGAACGTGGAAGAATAGTCCTTTACAAAAGTTGTGGTGGTGGTTATGGTTAAGTGATCCTACCTGGTCTGAAGAGCGTAAAGCGAGAGAACAATTAGTCAGACGATTGGATTTCTTCTTCTGTAGTTGTAAGTTTTACCGCATACCTCCCACCTCTTGTAGATATCACCTTTATTCCTATCGCCCTGTGAGACCCAGACTGATGATCAGATACATCACTTTCGGCTATCGTCAAACTACTCGATCAGACAAACATCTCCAATGCTTACGTGTCAGGAATGAAAGAAGATGTAAGTGATGATTAATGACTTACCTACAATGAGAAGCGACTTACCTACAAAGCTATCTCTATTCGGTAACCAACTTAACTTCTTTACCACTTATTTTAACATTGGATATATCGTCATGATTCCCATTTCGGCTTATTTCATCAATGGTAGGATCAGACCGAGTATTTTCCTTCCTACCGCTGAATGTAGACGCTGACTTTGCGGGATGTAAAGTGACACGGCTCATCTCAACGTTGAGGAATCCGCTCACAAAGATAGTATTCTGGGGTATTGGTACTGCTGGACTTGCAGCCGCTAAGAATTATAAACAAGTTTGTGAGTATCCTTCTTGTTTCATCTCATTTCTCCCCCTCTCCATTCATCTAGGAGAAAATATGTTGATCGAAAACAGATGGTCTTCGTTTTTTCGTCGGTTTCTGTGAAGGCACAGCTGTAAGTCATTTCCCATCTGTGTAAACATCTTTCAAGATACTGACTTTCAGTGGCCCGGAAGTGAGTTACACACACACAAAGTAAGAGCTCCCCAGTGACTAATGAATCAGCTATGACCCTCATTCTCTCTTGGTACACTCCTGGGGAAATTGGAAAACGTATGGCCGTTTATAACGGAGCTACTACACTTGGTGGTATCTTCTCCGGTGCTCTTCAATCTGCTCTTTATACCAATTTGTAAGTTGTATCCAACTCATACCTAGTGCCGATAGCTGATAGAAAGGAACGGTTCTCATGGTATTGCTGGTTGGCGTTGGGTAAGTTCATCGACTAAGTGGGTTTTGTGAAGAAAGAAACTGATGAGAATAGTTGTTCATCGTCAATGCTTGTATCACGGTTTTCGTAGCCATTTGGGGTTACGTTGGCTGTCCTGATTATCCCAATAAGGTAAGTCAAAGTTTCATCATCCCCTTTGGGTACTATTAGTGGGATCATAAAGGATGGAAGTGCGTTACTTGGACACGGGGATAATGAAACTAACCACTGTCCAACTCGACGATCGACTGTTATGTTATCATGGAATTGACATTCCATGTTCGACCAAAGAGATAGTCGACTGATTCATAGGTCAACCCTCTGGCTAAAAAGTATTGGCTTCGTGAACAAGATGAAGTCACTGCTGTAGCTCGTATGAAGAGTGTTCGTCGTGAGATGCCTAAAGGGTGGTCTTTGGCGACTTTCAAATCTGTAGTTACCAGACCTCAAAACATTGTACGTAACTCATTCATTCTTCCCATCCACATTCTTTTTCCTCTCCGTCTCAATTTCCTGAATTTTCTCATCCTTCACCTTCCATGTCTCATCCTTGATTCGATCGTTCGAGTTCAGGGGCAGGGAAATGAGGGAGGTTGTGATATGACTCTGTCACAAGAGGGCCTTGCTGACAATTCAGACTGTCTTGCTAGCATACGAGTACGCTGATTACTCTTCATAGCCAGTTATATACTGATGTAGGTAGGTTTATCGGACAAGGTGGAACCGGTACTGGTTTCTTCAACCTTTGGCTTAAAAGTTTGAAGAAGGCCAATGGCAAATCCCGTTTCACGTAAGTTTCACTGTCGTTATACAAAATGTCTAGATGCTGATGAAGAATAGTGTATCTCAATTGAAGTAAGTTTTGCTTTCCCGTTGACGTTTCTAACCAGACAGCACCATTCCCATCGCTGGTAGTGTGGTAAGTTCCCGTTTGTACGAATAAGATGTGAAACTGAGTAAGGTAGATCAACATTCTATCGCTGTTTTTCTTCCTTTCATTATCGGATGTGTTCAAGACTCGTTGGCCATTCGGTATGTCATCTTCTTTCCACAAATTACACTTTCATGATCTACATGTCTCTCTACTCTGGTCGACTTGAGCATGTTTAAGGGCATCAGTGGTGGAGCAGACTTGGGGGAAAGTTGACTGACTATCAGTTATCATCGTCGCTCTTAATGGTATCATCTGGGCATCCGTTCTTACTGCCGTGAGTCTCTCATCCTACCGTTCACATTCACAACTCTCCTGGACTGTCCTGGGAGTCTGAGTACCCTCCACCCCCCTTTCACATTGTGAGATCCCCCCACCGCCTTCCCCTTGGGCACAGTCCAAGTGGACGGTCATATTGGCACACTCTGGCTCTGTCGTTGCCTTTGTTGGATTCATAGAACGTAGGACGATGCTGATAGACAGTGGTATGTTCCAGATGGAGTCAAGATGGCCGCTTTCCTCTTACTCAATATCTCTTCGGTGTATGCCAACCTGTGAGGTTTTTTTCTTTTCCTTCCCATTGACACAGCACCAATGAGACTCTCGCCTTTCCCTTTCTTTTCATCAGACATCGTATCGGTGGAGAAGTCCAAATTTGATATCGAGCTGCAGCTGATATATAGGATCGTTTCTTGGCTTGGTGATCTTGTCCGACACAGTGCGGAAGAACGTTCTTTGATCGTAGCCGCTTTCCCCGTCATCTTCTACACTCTCGGGTTAGTCATTCTCCTCCTCCCTTTCGAAACGTCACTGATGGCTTAGAGCCGGTGTACCACTCAAAGTTTTCCCTGCATCTCGTGAGTATCTTTCAAACATCGTTGAGTCGATACTGATTTGAACAGAGGCACCTCATTACAAGATCGGTTGGAGTGAGTCCCACCTGTCTCAGAAAGAGAAAAGGATTCGGCTGATCCATAGAATATCCCGTCATCATGTTCTCCATCGGGATACCTTTCACCTTACTGACTGTTTATCTTGAAAGACGTCAAAAGTGAGTCTATCGAGTGTTTTTTTTTGTACATGAAACTGACTCATTAGTCGTATTGACGCTTTGAACCAGATACCAGATGAGAGTGATCATAATTCAATTTCTGCTCCCCAGAGTGAGAAAGATGATGAGAAATATGGTGTGGTAGCTCCTACTGGTGCGGAGTTGGCAGCTAGGAATTTGCCGACTCTCTGATGTGGATTCGGGTTTCCTTTTAAGAGATATACTTTGGATCGATTTCTCCGGGAACTGCGGGAGGAGTTAATGTGGTTATCTGATTAGTAGAAGACGGAGAGGGATGATGTTGGGGTGAGATTGGTTGATACATGTCAAGGTTAATTAGAAGAGTGACGAGGAGAAGGGGTTTCTTGATTCTTGAGTTTTGTGTGCAGGATTTTCTTTAGTAGATTAGATCGGGTTTGAATGCATCTCTTGTCATTTTACATCTGTCAACTTTGCGTGGATTGTGGTTGTACTGATACTGATACTGATGCACAAGGAGGGGATTGCCCTGCTCTACTCGGGTACAATGTGAGTCAGCCCAAAAGGTAGTTATAGGAAGGGTACAGGATTGAGTGAGTTGGCCGCCACAAACGGAGACCGAATCTTATCATGATTCCCGGCTGATCAGGCACGTAACTGACCGAAGATTACACCATCCTCCCTTTACATGTCGTCATCCTCATGCGTGCGTTCTTTTCTCCCATGTCAACTTGTCATTCTGTCATCAGTAAACCTCCACTCGGTTCGGATTATACCGAAGTTTCTTGACAGGCACTACTAGATCAAATAATTGAAGAGTCAGGTTATGATGATTGGTTTTGGTATTGGTATTGCGTGATGATACGAGTTTTGGAGACATGTTGCAATATCAACTCTAGTAGTCGTTATTCAAAGTCGGAATGGGTTCCGCGACGAGTGTGCTTTACGAGTACAATATACTGAAGATCGGTCATCTTTCCTCTTACTCTCATTCTCTATATCCATTCTTCCTTCTCTTTCATCGTCTTCAAACATCGTATTCTTCCCTCCATATACAAGACTCACCCAAGTTTTAGCTGAACAAGTAAAGAAATCGTTGACAAAATGGCACCCATCGCTATTGACCCAACACCCGTAGTGGAAGAAAGAGACACTTCAACAGAAATCGCAGCACTCAAAGCTATTCTCAAAAAACAAGAAAACGTAGTTTTACCACCTGATAACACACTTCGTCGTTATTTGAAAGCCGGAATAGATCTTTCGAATGGTTATCCTTATCATCCACCTAAACCTGATTTCGTACAGGATGTTAAAAAGATTCGTACGGATTTAAGAGAATATCAAGATCCTGCTTTGAGAGCTGATCCGGAGAAGAAAGCTTTGTTTGGTGCTGCTAACGAGGTTAAGAATTTGACTAGTCATATTGGTGTGAGTGACAATCTTACATCCTTCACCGGACACGTCTGTTTGTTTCTTTTCGATAAACGGATCAATCCTACAGACGCAATGTTACGATGTTGGTTCGCTTATGGGAATTAAACTGATTTGATAGACTGAAATTATCGGTCTTCAACTCAAAGATCTTACCGATAAACAGAAAGATGAATTGGCACTTTTGGTCGCTGAACGTAGTATCGTATGTGAGTTCAAATTTCGTTTCCCTGCGTTTATCTCTTTCCTAACACATCTTCCCGACCTATCTTACTTACCCTTCGAACCACCTCGCCTGGATACATTCGACCACTACCTTACCATCCGACGGAACCTCCGAGTAAGGGGTGTCATACACGCTCTCTCCTGTCTGTTATCTCTTCACCCTAAAGTTTCTACATATGATTCTAGGACGTGAAGCGATGTTCTACCAAGAAGACCAAGTCTGACATATAGTCCTCCGCGACCAAGACCTCTCGCCTCAACAACAACAAGCTCTCGGTCTTTACCTCGGTGATGGTGAAATCGAACGTCATCCTCAAGCACCTCAAGTACCCGGATTGGGAGGTGGTATCTCTTTGATCTGGGAGAAAGGACATAAGGATCAGATTGTTTCTTCTAGGACTAAACGTGTTCCTTATGGGGGTGTCTTTGGATGGCACACTGATCTCGTTCACGAGGGTGAGTAACTTGTGTCCTATCCTTGTCTCAGATTTTCTTTCCCCCTTTCTTCTTTCTGCACTTTGACTTGTCACCCCTTGAACACCCTGCGACGACCGATTTCCAGTTGAATCCTTCTCTTCATCTTTCGAGACTAGAAGGAGACCGAAAGCAGGAAGCTCTCCGAGACGAAATAAAAAAAAAGAGAAGATAGATGGACAGGCCGGGGACGAAGGGGGGTGGGACAGAGAACTTACAGAAGGGGTGTATTCGACGAGAGAACTGAGAAAGAAAAGAATAGTCCCATTGAGAACATCTACTAACTCTCAGCCTTCCCACCCGGTTACACCCACCTTCATCAAGACACCGTCCCAGAAGTAGGAGGTGATACCCTATGGGCAAGCGGTTACGCAGCTTACGACAAACTTTCACCTGCTTTCCAAAAAGTTTTAGACGGTCTTAATGGGATTTACCGTTCAGCACATAAATATAAAGATGCCGAAGATCCAGAAGGTGACGCTAAATACGTAACAAGAGTTCATCCTCTTATTCGAACTCATCCTGTGACAGGATGGAAAGCACTTTGGATAAACCAATCTATGACTGTCGGTATTCAAGGTTTCGATAAAGTTGAAAGTGACGCTATTTTGAATTACCTTTATGGAGTTTATGAGAGGAGTACGGATATTCAATTGAGATGGCATTGGACTCCTGGTACTTCTGCTATTTGGGATAATAGGAGTACTATACATACTGTCTCTTATGATTATGAAGGGGAGAGACATGTGAGTGGAATGTTTTTCCTGGACCATTTCATCGTTCATTCTTCTCAACCACCGTACAATTTCTATGTCCGTTTTCGTCGCAATCTCTCAACTCCCTTTTCCGTGTTGAGAATGCGATACACAACTCTCTTCTCTCTTTCCGTCTCTCATACCTTCTTCACATCACGCTCAGTCAATTGGGCTGAGACCACGGGTCATATCTGGGCATGAGAGGAAGCTGACAATAAAAGGGAACAAGAGTCTCATCTTTGGCCGAAAAACCATTCTTCGATCCAAACTCGAAATCTCGTGCTCAGGCATTACAACTTAAAGGTTGGCTCACCCCCGGTGGTCTTCAGGGTTAAAGTATCATGCGGGTCTAGTTCTACCTAGTGTACGTAGTGTATCTAGTATGCTCTACAAGTGTGGATAAACGTACAGTATGAGGGTTTACGAGACAACGTAGAATTTGACAGATGTTGAAGAGATATGCAAAATTCGTTTTCTTCGTTGATTTTGTTGCGACTTTCTTTCTTTCTTTCTTTCTTTCTTCTTTCTTCTCTCTTCTCACATTTCGCTCCTAGTTTACCTTTTCACACACTTCAAGCAGCAGGGCAGCAATAGTGATCATGGGCCTCGCTTGACATTTCCATCACTCCTTGAACAAGTACAATAGGTCAAGTGGTCAAGGCGAACCTTCGGTTGAGCCTTGAAAGTTGAATGTCAAAAGTGTGATTCAATCCAAAACAGATGACCATGTCTTTAAAACTTCTCAACCATACTTCGTCCTCCTTACTCAAGACGATCCTTAGAACCTATTCGAATAACTCTTTATCAGGATTATCTCCAAAGAGACGCACCTCTTCCACCAGATACATATCAAGTTTGAACACCTCGGTAAAATGTACAAAACTCATCATCCGTTCACCTTCCTCATCAGCCCCTAGAGAAAGTCCAACTCCTTTAGTTTTTCTTCGAACCAATATCCCAATCTTCATCTCTCCACTTCTTATCTCAACCCCTGCAGGATCCTCAAATTCGTATGCAGACCCTTCAAATAAACACATTCGTACTCCCGTCGGCCCATGGAGATCGTCCCAGGATAATCAGGTGTTATCGAATGACATACGGGAACATCCAGATTTGGAAGATAGGACAGATTGGGAAGGATGGAGTTCAATGTTTTCTGAAAAAGGTTATACTTCTATCGAGATTGACATATCTCTCCAGTCCTACAACCCCGTCAATCCTTCCAATTATCCGAATCCCTCTGATTCCACCCATAGTCTATGGGTGAAAGGTTCAACAAGAGATATTCTCAAAGAAATGTCAACGTTATTATCGACCGAAATCCGTTTGTTGGGAATACCATTTCCACCTATTCTCATATCGATGGGAAAATCAACCGTGTTGAGTCAATCTTACGTTGGAGATTATCCTGTTCAAGGAATGGTTTTGGTTGATCCTCCGAAGGAACCGGTATGGGGTTTATCAGATTTGACAAATTCTTTGAACTCTCCAGGCTCCTCAGGCTCGCTGGGGTCGATAAGGTCAATAGAATCGTCGGCTTCGTTAAACAGGGGAAACTTATCGAGCTCCTCGCTCTCGCTGGAATCTTCGGATTCAGGGGAGGAAGACCGGGAGGAAGTGGGCAGAGTAAAAACGTCGGAAAAGTCGGAAGGAAAGAAGAGATTGGAAAAATTGGAATTCAAGTATGAACCTACTTTCCCTATTCTTCTTCTTGGGGTCGAAGATAGAATGGAAGATGTTCTTTCCAGTAGACTAGGTCAAGCTGCTACTGGGAGTATTACTGGAGGGAGGTGGAGAAAAGGGGTAGAAGTGGAAAGTATGAAGGATGGGTTAGGAGAAGAAACGAGATTAGTGAGTTTCTCTCTAACCCCTGTCCAAGTCTTGGTCTTTTAGATTGTTGGGTACTGCATGATCTCACATTCCCTATGGCACGGAAATGCTTTCCTATTTCATCTGAGAATTTCCGTTCATCGATGAGATCTGGAGAAGGGAGAAGAATCATCACACATCGTTGGTGATCATTTGAACGGGTTGAGGCTCCAGGAGGTGAAGAGGGAGGGGAGAAAGAAGTGATATGCTAATCTCAGCTCGTCGAACGATGGATGGACAGGTGCGGTTTCTGATCTTTATCACACCCGATCATAAGATCCGTGTAGTCGGAGGTCTAGTTTCTTGTATCTCTGACAGGGCCTTACGATACCTTTCGAGAAAAAGGTCGGAAGCTACATTATGAGAGCAAGACGATACTGCAAAAGCGACTCAATGACCTGTTCATCTCACCGATCCCGAATGTTCTTGGGAAAATTACGAGCCGGGTGGTAGTACATCCATGCAACGATTCCTATGCACATCTGTAACCACCCTTATCCCTCCCTTTTCGGCGGATCTTCATCATCACGTTCCTCTGCATTTGTCAATAGGCCCAGTCGAATCTCTTGAGATTCGACATTTGTGTTCTGAGACGGAGCTGGCTTCGGACTTCCTTTGAGCTAGTTGTCAGTCTAAACGAATCTTTCTATCACCAGCAAGGAAAGTCGTATTAAAGGGATACAAACACAAAGTAGGTGTCCCCAATAGGAGCGAGCTGTGCTGAAAATGCTCGAAAGAAGGGGAGCAACCTAACCACTGATATAATGATCTCAGGGGGCTTGAGAATGATGGGGATTTAGGTTGAACAACAATGAAATGACACTGGGTCCAGAATGACTGCAAGATAGAGGGATGGAGTAGTGGGGGAGAAGAAAAAAAACGTTTCGACACCTACCACACTCCATGTACCTGCACCAATGATCAACAACATTCCCACGATCCCTGAAAGAGAAGGGAAAGAACCTCCAACGGCGATTTGAAAAAACACAGCTGGGACGACTTGCAAATACCCTAAGATGGCAACCCGAGATCCGGTTTCACGTTGAGTAGCTAATACGGTACATAGCTGAGCTGCGAGCCCGGCCATCTGTAGATCAACATGTAAAACCATTCTTCAACACCTTGGTCATTTCTTCTACCTCATTTGAATATGACTAGGAAGCGACGAAGAGAAGAGGAGCTGTGTAGACGGAGGGTGGGTATAAATAAAATCCGCATGTTTCCATTTATCTCACCATCCTGGGTATAAAATGACTGGGAGTACAAACGAATATAAGCGTGGACAGTGTGAAGATAATTGAGTGAATGGATGAAAAAACGTATTTTTGACTTACACTGACGACAATCAACAAAAGCAGAGCGGGAAGTGGGAGCCATCTGGGTACGGTACGACTTGCTATCATCCATAGAGTTGCCAAAACGGTGTTGCAGATGGCATATAGAAGTAAGAGGATCATGGGGGAAGTTTGTTTACCTATCTTACGGAGGAGCATAACTGGGGGTAAGAAATTCACTAATGGAATTCGAAGAAAGATAATGACTGATTCTGGAGCCTAGAGAAGGAATGAATTTTCGACATTCCCTATTGTACAACGTACGGTAGAAAGTAGTGGGAAATTCACTTGCGAGACCATTGTATCTTTTTTCCAGAAGCAAGTGTTCAATCACGTCGAGTATTGAGGGGGAAAAGAGGAACATTGACAAGGGAAGGATCGGTAAAAAATAAAAGAGATGGATGGCGAAACAGGATGTACAAAAATTCTCACCATCTACCGAACTGAAAAGAGTACTAGATAAAGTGAACAAAACCCCTAATACATATATGGGATGAAAAGAATCATTCGTTTCTCCTATTGTTTCCGTCTGTTCAAGTTGAGAGAACGGTGTAGATGAGGTGGAAGGTTGACCGAAGATCATTTCCGGTTGAACGATCAATATTACAGCTCCGAATGAGATTACTATTTCGTCAGCCATTGCTTTCTTCACGATCGTTTACAGCCGTCTTTGTTTTCTCCCTGATTGCCAAGGTGGAATGACAAACTTGTCGATAGCAGTAAAGCAGCACTCGTATCGAAGTTCAGATCAGAGAGCACGAGGTCGAATATAATGTGTGAGAAGATCAAAGTATCCAGACATAGATTACTAGTGACTCACCAGTCGCACATCCTTGTACCCAAGTGAAAGCCTCATGGAGGAAAATCGAGCATAACAATGCCACAGGGATAGGTCGTAAATGAAATAAAGTTATAAAATCGCTCAATGGCATATGGGCTAAAGCCGTATAAGCCAAAATGAGTGAAGAGGAATTTACGGCCCCACGGGTCCACCAGATAATCGAATTCGGTTTTAGGATGGCCATGAGAGAGTTTGACTCGTTATAGACGAGATAGATGAATGTCGCTATGCCCGTGAAAAACTATCGAAAGTCAGAAAGTATTGCAAGATTTGTACTTGATTTGATAGGCCTATATAGGCACCTCAGGAAAGTATTACCCAAGGTACTGCATGAAAGACTACGATAGGCCGATGAGAATGAGAATGAGTTCAGATGAATTGAAAATCATGGATCTGGTAACAGGTATAGGCAAGAAGAAAAGTACTCACCATCCTTAAAAATGCAATCTCTATAGCCGACACTCCGTATCCTACTTCCAACCTTTGAACCGTCCCATCCATCAAGACGAAGAAAGAGTTGGCAAGTAAGACCAGGGCGACACCGGCGTATGGATGATTCAGAAGATGGTGAGTATCACTTGTGCCCCTGTCATTCTCATGGCTCATCGTTCTCTGTTAATACTATCAATCTGATTATATTCTCGAGTTTGAATGTTGTAAGACAGGAATGAGAAATTATGAGCATGCTGCTTGCTGGGGTCGCGATCGACGAGTCAGTAGGACAAAAGCTACGCGCAAGGTTTTCTTCCATCTCAAATTGATGGAGTGGACTGATGGATCATCACATCACCGTTGTAGGAGTGGCGTCGTGGCGTCACCTGGATTTGATACTTCCCTTTCTGGTTGATCGACTATGGGACTCCCTTTGAGCTGGTACATCAGTGACATACGCAGATCGCTTTAGTTGCTTGTTCCTCATATAAGACTGAGTCGAAGAGGAGTGAACAAAAGAGGACGAGTGATGAGAATGAGAGACAGATTGAAGCAAAGATGGGGTTGACAACTTACCACACTCCATACTCCCGCAACGACAATCACCACCATACCTATAGTCGTGATGAGGGAAGGTGTGGTACCCATCACCAACCATTGAAAAAGGACGGATTGAACGACTTGAAGATATCCCAAGACTGCTATGGTCGTCCCTGTTTCTCTTCGTAGTGCGAGGACAGCGAGCAGTTGACCGGCAAGACCGAAGAGCTGTACGTTGGCGGGATCCGGTGCAATACATCTATGTATATGGGTCTTGAAAGTCGTCAAGGAGGACTTGACAAGGTGGAAACGTCATTAACACGCCAAGCATTGAGGAGCCATTGATAAGATCGGATAAAGAGGAGGGCGGAGGAGTATCAAGACTCACAATGACGAGGGACAACAAGCCAATAGCTTCGAAAGACATGGAGATGAATATTGTCCGGGAAACCAAAATCCATATCATGGAGAGGAAAGTGGTACATGTGGCATAGAGGAGTAGCAAGATCGCAGGAGAGGCTTCAGAGCTGATCTTACGAAGGAGGAAGACTCAGGATCAGCTCGTCAACATGTTTCTGTATTAAAGCGACAGTGAGGCCATACTGCGTGATGATTACACTACTCACTATCGACAGAACTGGAGATTATACAGAGAGTGGCAAGGAGAACCCCTAGGGCGTAGAATGGGTATTCAGAAGGTGTGTCGGTAGATGATGGAGGACCGAAGAGAAAGTCAGGCTGGACGACGAGGATCACGGCGGCGAATGATATGGCTAGGCAATCAGCGTCGTCCTCTCCTTTTTTCCAATCACCCAGTCACAAAGTGAGTCAACAATGGGTCCTTATAGGAAAGTAAGGGTAGGACCACGGAGAGAGGAGGGAAGTACGGAAGATAAGAGAGGCTGCCAAAATGGTTCGTCGAACAGGTGATTCCAGGAAGAAAGGTCATAGGTGCGCAGCGAAGATGACTGACCGGTAGCGATTCTCTGCACCCAAGTGAAAGGTTCTCCGAGGAAATACCAACACATCAAAGCTACCGGTACAGGTCTCAAATGAAACAAAGTGATATTCTCACTCAGGGGCATATAAGCGAAAGAAGCGTATGCGAGAGAGATGGTCAGAGCTGCTATCCCTCCTCTGACCCACCAAAGCGTTGAGGGGGGAGCGATGAGTGATTTGAGTGAATAGGGGGAGGTGAGCAAGAGGTAGGTAAAAAGGAGTAAGGAGGTAATTAGCTGGAGTCAGTCGGACACTATATTGTTATTCATTCATCGGCCCCGTGAATGTCTCGGAATCTCGAAAGCCTAGAGAAGAAGAAGGGTCGGTCACTGGAACGAGCAAGAGAAAGCTCAGTAGACAGAGGCAGCAGATCAGTCATGTATAGTATGAGACCTAACTTTGTGTGAAGAAGAGGAAGTTGAAGACACAACTTACCATTCTCAAAAACACAATCTGACCAGCTGATACGCCATGTGTAACCTCCAACACCTGTACCGTACCGTCCATCAACACAAAACTGGCGTCGGCGATGACTATGAGCGCCACGCCTTTATGATTCTCCATCATCATCGATCTCGTCAGTCTATGTCAACGATTTAGGTGAGTATGAGTATGAGTAGTGTTGGCATCATCGTCAAGCATGTCAGAGTAGGTTTTGAGCGAGGAAGGTGGTAGATCCGATGAACGGATCATCTTTCCTGTCCCGCGCCTATCAAAGGGTAAAGTGAGTCACGCGCCTAACACAACCTCCAGATTTCAGTCAAAGTGGGAATTTACACAACTAAATCTACCTAACTTCTATCTACAGGGCTCATACGGGGAAAAGTACTCTACAGCGATTAGAACAAGATGAAACCTACGACATCCATCTTTGGCGCTTCTCGTTTACCTCTCACCACAAAGAGAGGTAACAAAGATTTCTACAAAGGTGCGTCATCCCATTCAAATTCCCAAGCCAAGGTATATCCAAATCATTGACGAGTTTACCAGGAAGAGTTGCAGTGTACGCTCGGATTTGAGGCGAAAGGATAGTGGGAGAGAGGAAAAGTCAATACTGACGGCTAGGAAGTCGACAATCTTACGTTCCAGGTGGTGGACATCGTACTGGTCCACCTGGAAAACATATGGTATCGAGAAAAGGGAAATATAGATTGTTAGATGATCAAGTACGTTTTTACGTCGGACCTGGTGAAGATACTTTATCCAAAACAAAGGTGAGTGTTTTTTTCTTTTTTTAGATCTTGAAACTTGTTCTCTTAGCCCTCTCACGTGTATTCTCAAGCTTCATATTTCTATCACTATCTGTCTATCCAACTTCATGTACTCGTGTCTTTCGTATCTGTCATAGTTTTACGTCTACGAGAATAACTCGGTGTGTATGAGAAAGGTGAGGATACACAAGGACGACTCTCACATCCATGAGGAAAACCGAGAAGAGGAAAAGATGTTTACATTCTATAATCTGGTACAAACCCTGATAATCAGCTCCGACCATACGTGCATTCCTCTCTACTTCGACCAGATCTCCGGCTTCCTCAATTCGCACCTAACGCCTCTTTGAAAACCCTTAGGCTGCTATCATCAAATCCCACTGTTTCCACTTCTACTTCCACTTCTACGTCCACTTCTACCTCGGGACAACCAAAGACGAAGGATGACTCCTCTCCTACCGTCTCAGCTCGGACAGATGACAATGTACATACATCCCTTTTAGATGGTGAAGAACTATCAGGTCAAGTAAAAAGCGAAGATGAATCAAATATAGTGGAAGACGAAGAAACAAAAACACCATCATCATCTTCAGAAAAAGTCAAAGGACAAAAACAAAGCAAAGAAATCCCAATCCAACTTTATTTCAAATTCTCAAAACAATGGCAATCTCTTAATCCTATCAAAAAGAAAGAAATGATCTTTGCTCAGAGGGCGATTTGGTGGGCTGGTTTGGAAAGGAAGTTCGGGAAAGATATCTCCTTAGACTGATTTAGAAGAGCAGGTTTAGGTTGGTGAAGAGTTGAAGGGTTCACGCTCTCTTCAAACCTATGTATCTCCAATGCATCTCGTGATTTTATACACAATTTCTTTCAATATCTCATAAATTTACCCACCCACCCAGCAGTGACTTTTTACTCAACCTTTCCTTCAGAGACCTCAAACCAGAGAAAACTTGGCCCTTATTCCCCCCCTAACTGGTCGAAGCTCCAACGGCCAACCTCTTCAAATGTTCCATAAACACCTGTAAACTAACATCATCCGTAAATATAGCTTGACCACCATTCCCACCTCCTCCATAACCTCCGCTCATATGTGTAGTACTCGGATTCAACTTGCTCAACAAGAATCTAGCTTGACTTCCACCTTGATCACAGACCACATAACGAGGTATAGGTAATCGATCCTCTAACAGATCCTGTGCATCGGTGATTGGACTTTCTAGTAATTCTTTGAAATTTTCATATCCTTCTTGATCTTGATAATTCGCTTTACGCCATTGAGCTATGGTCTCACCGTGGAATATGAGGATATGGAAGAATGTGTCGAGGAGAAGGATGACGTCAGGTCGGATGGAAACTGAATCGAGTAGGACGGGATGGGGTTCGACGTCGAATGTGTAGGACATTAAGGTGGGTTGGATCATAATGAGGGAGTTGTTGACATCGGCGTCGTTTAATACGTGGCTGAGATCAGCATTGGACTATTCTAGTAGGTGAATTATATATTGACTGTTGATGTGACTAGGACTGGGGAAAGAGAGCCGAGAACGAGACAATAGGGAAAAAGATGCTTTCACTCACCGGTAGAAAGCCGTCTCATCCGGTGAATTATTGAACACCTGCAAAAACTGACTCCTTCTCAGATGAAACATGAATTGCGGGTAAATACTGAAATTCGGACTCAATTGGAAACTAGTCGGATCTTCTTTCCTATACTCGGCAAACTTCTGACACAACCGAATCAACATTCTATCCAACCATCTCAACACATCTGGACTGTCATCGATCTCCGCTTTGAAGACAGCGATACGAGCCATGAGCACCGCGGCGGCTTCTTGATCGAACGAAGCGGCGATAGCTGGGTGTCCGCCTTCGTGAAAGGTTCGAGCAATGGTAGTCACTCGTAGACGGAATTGTCCAGAAGAATGTTGATAATGGGTCACAAACTGGATCAAACCGGTTTGATTGGGTTGGAGAGGTTGACCGGCAGGAGTGACAACTTCAAAGTATGTGGCAAGGGAGGATTTTGGGGTGAGGGAACAAACTTTCCATGCGGAGGTTTGACCGATCCCTATTTCAGTCTCACCCACACTGGGAGTTTTCTTGTTGGCTGATATGACGTGGCCGATGACTCCGGAGATCTTGAGTTCTTTTGTGGTCTCGTCGTCAACATCTCATTTCTGCCAGGAAGAGGACCAGGGAAATACGAGCTCGTAGAAGATGAGCAGAGTGTATGAAACGCGTGAGTTGAAGCGGAAGGGCATGAGCCGAGGAGAGGGACAACGTGAAAGATTGAACTCACGAGTACCTCGAAAGTACCATTGAAACCCATTTTCAGATGACCATCATCGTCTTTCCCCAAGGATCGCAAAAAGGTCTGTTTGAAGATGGCGGTCATGAAAGAGTCCGAGATGACCATAGACCCATTGGTCGCGTTGGTCAACGATTTCATTTCTAGCAGACCGACTTGGTCCAAACATCCCGCGTAGATATCAATTGCATGGCCGTTGGCTGACGCGCGTTTGGACAGACCCTCAAAGTACTTCGACCGTCAGCTACACTCACTACGGCAAGCTTGCTGACCTTTGTAGCGCGTTTGAAATGCTTGACACTGTCACGATCGATGTCGTGGTGCGACCTGATAGGTTCTCTCAATTCGGGACCTACAACTAGACCTGGTCCGTCGGTGGGTGGACCTCCGGAGAAGAGCATGATGCGAGCTCCCGTATTGGGGAACGTGGTCTGCTGTCAGTTCTTTTCAGCTGTACTAGTTGACGGAACGAAAGCATGGGGCACGATCATAAAGTCGAAAAAGGAGTCATCGCCAACAAGGAAAGTAGAAACGTTTTGAATGAAGGTGACGAGGGCTTTGTTTAGGCAGGGGGACGATATGGGTGTGCAACACACCTCGAGGAGAGAAACAGCAACACCCATGGCTACCCCAGTACATCTCAAAGGACGTTTGTCCTGTTCCACAGGCCACGGATCCCTCTGCAATCCCTCGAGGATACTGGTGAGCTGGAACTCGCACGCTTGAGCAGGCATGAGGAATCGGCTAGCAGCCGGCGCAGGCATGGGTTGACCGGGTCTTACCGCTTGCATCCTGTTGGACGGGTTCAGTCCTAGCATATCGGCGATTTGTTTGGGTTGATATTCTTTGGATCCTCGGAAGACGTAGGACTTGGGACAGTCGGAATATGCGAGTTCGTGTACCATGGTCTGTTGGTCAGCCCTTTGACAGCGAAGAATGCGTTTGAAAGCAGTAAAAGGCACATTGAGATCGAGGAAGAAGATAATGAGCAACGAGAAGAAACCCCGCTCGGGGGAGGGCCCAGAGGAAGCAGATTACCCACCATGGTACCAAAAGTAATCAATCCCACCAGTGCAGTCGGAGGTAACAAGCTAAGACTGACGACCAAAGTCTCGCGCAAAGCTTTGAGCTCATCTTCGTCCACACAAGTGTCAACGACGTAGAGGAAGATCGGAGGGATTTGAGCGGGTCTAGAGAGTGTGTATTCGATGGTGGTGTACTTTGGAAGAAGTTCAGCTGGGAGGTTTGTAGTTGTTATATCTTTGTAATGCGGAGGGAAAGGGTTCCGTTGTAGACAGAATGGACATATCCATAGTTTTCCACGGACGTCGATTTGGCTGGGGTGAGTTCTGACACCATCGTTTTTCTTGTTTCGCTAGTATCCACCCTCACACAAGGTGAGAGGAGATTACAGGTTCGATAAGCGTGGAGAAAGATGAGAAGTAGTAAGGGGGGATCAGAAGAGTGAACATAGAGGAGAGGAGGGAGGAGAGGGAGGAAAGATAGGAAGAGTAGGGAACCTGACGACATACCAAAAAGGGTTCAGAATGGCCTTACAAGAAGCTTTGCAAGTGACAGGTTCGTACAGGACAGGTGGTAAATCTTCCCTTTCTTTCAGAGGAGTGTAAAGAGCAGAGATAGGTACAACAGTCCTGGTAGCTTCTATCCTACTTGACGGCCATGCGTTCCAAGATAGGCGGATACCTGGTTATCAGTGTTCAACACGACGGATTGAAGGGACAACGTACCATCCCGATCCTCTACGTCTTCAAAGTTGTTGGTGGACATGACCTCCTGGGTTATGTGATTACAGTAATAGAAAGGATATATTTCCTATGGTCCTACTCTCTGTCCCTCTGTCGCTGTGGTGAGTGGTGCGAGTAGTAGTTGGAGACGTGGAATGGTGGTGTGGGTGGTGTGGTGTGGTGGGTGGTGGGTGGTGGGTGAGTAGAATGACGTGGCATTATTTACCCAAAACTGAGTAGGGTCGCGCTGGCAGTTGGTACTCGTATGTTGCACCACAACCACAACAACCACAACCTTGACATCTTGAAACCCCTCAGCATCCCCTCTTAACCCAGGCTAATCGGCAAGATGGGCTGTGAGTGTCACTGTCATCACACGAGTGAAAGCGCTGATGAAAAGTCCGGTTCTTAGAGCTAGTCCGGCCGTTCATGCCTATCCTCCCAGAGGTTACCGCACCCGAACGAAAGGTCTGTCCTCGGTCCTTTCCCCCTCTCACCTCCAACACAACCTATGTACTTTCTTTCTAGATCAGAACTCGACACTAGTTCTGTTATCTCGCTTCTCTAACTCCATCACCCCAATCACTCACGCTTCGTTCATGTATCTTGCAGAAGAGTCGCGGTCCATCCTAACCACTAGGTCACATTCCAACACAAAGTCTTATGGACAGCCACCACCCTTCTCATCTTCCTGGTCTGTTCTCAAGTCCCACTGTACGGTATCATGTCCTCTGACTCTTCCGATCCTCTCTACTGGCTGAGAGCCATTCTCGCTTCGAACAGAGGAACGTTGATGGAATTGGGTATCACACCGATCGTGACGAGTGGGATGATTATGCAGTTGTTGGCGGGAGCTCAGTTGATCGATATCGATTATAATTTGAAAGATGATAGGGCGTTGTTGACTGGGGCTCAGAAGCGTGAGTTGGATTATAAATTGTCTTAACCATAACTTGATACTTCCCCATATCGCTATCATCACCTCCATCCACATCCTTACCTGTACCTTTTGTGTTAAACTTCCATATGAACCGACTATTCCTCGACGCGGGGCGTCATCACCACTTGTCTCACATTACCATCTCTGGTGTTACATTTTTGTCGAACCGTTCGAGATTGACACTCTCACAAAGATATGCTAGACGAGTTCATCGACTCATAGCTTGACTAACTCACCCCAGTCTTCGCAATGATCATCGCCTTAGGACAAGCCACCGTCTACGTTCTCACCGGTCTGTACGGAACCCCGTCTTCCCTCGGAGCTGGTGTCTGTCTCTTGCTCATCCTTCAACTCGTATTCGCCTCGATGATCGTCATGCTCCTCGACGAACTCTTGACAAAAGGCTACGGACTAGGATCGGGAATCTCCTTGTTCATCGCCACGAACATCTGCGAGAACATCATCTGGAAAGCGTTCTCACCTAACACCGTCAACACGGGTCGTGGACCAGAATTTGAAGGAGCCGTCATTGCTCTTTTCCATCTGTTCTTCACGTGGAACGACAAGACCAGGGCTTTGAAAGAAGCCTTTTATCGAGAACGTTTACCAAACATTATGAACTTGTTGGCGACCGTCGTAGTCTTTGCTGTGGTAATTTACCTTCAAGGTTTCAGGATCGAAATCCCCATCAAGAGTAACAAGATGAGAGGACAACGTGCGAGTTATCCAGTCAAACTGTTTTACACTTCCAACATGCCGATCATGCTGGAGAGCGCGTTGACGAGTAATGTGTATCTCATCAGTCAGATGTTGTACAGTCGGTTCCCTGAGAATCTTCTGGTGAAATTGTTAGGTGTATGGGAGGTGAGTTTCCCGTTTTTTTGTTCACCGTATCATTCCCGTCTCTACGCAAATTGCTCCACAATCTCTTGCCAGGTGTAGGAATTGCATATGAGGCTTTGTATTGTCATCAAAGAAGATATGATACTGACAACTAGCCCCTCGAAGACGTCCCTTCTCAACTCTCCGCAGTATCCGGAATATCTTACTACATCTCTGCACCTCATTCACTCAAGGCCGCTCTGATCGACCCACTCCACACTGTCGTATACATTGCATTCATCGTCACGGCCTGTGCCATCTTCTCCAAAACATGGATAGAAGTCTCCGGTTCCGGTCCTAGGGACGTTGCCAAACAGCTTAAAGATCAAGGAATGACTCTGGCCGGACATCGCGATGCTAGTATCTACAAAGAATTGAAAAGGGTCATACCCACCGCCGCGGCTTTTGGAGGGGCTGTTTTGGGTTTGTTGTCCGTGGTGGCGGATATGATGGGTGCTTTGGGTAGTGGGACGGGTATCCTGATGGCCACGACGATTATCTATGGTTGTGAGTGAAGTTTCTTCTTGTGCGGTGTGATGAGTGGGGCTGATGTGAAAGACTTTGAACTGGGTGTCAAGGAGAATGCGGGTATTGATTCTGCCGGTCTGGGCGATTTGTGTGAGTTGATTTTGCGAGTTATTGAGAACGATGGGATTCGAGTGTGGGGTGAGGCTGAGCTGACGGACAGTGTTCTGAGTGGATGGCTCGGAAGGCATGATTGTCGCCTTGGGGATCATTATGTTCATCATGAGTAGTGTGTGTGAGGGGAGGGAGTGAAATGGAGTAAGAACTAGCTGTGACCTCGGGCGCAGACTGGAGAAAAGAAGGAATGAGAGATGACGAGGGACTGTCGGTTGGTCGGCCGGTCGGTCGTGTGAAGGTCTAACCCCATAAAGAGGGTAAAAGTCAAAGTGAGAGAAACGTGCTTGACGAATCGGCCAAAAATGCATTGATATCCATCTGCTGTGTAGTGGGTAGAGGTGACTGCTCTGTCATGTCAGTTTACCTACCCTTGTCATTGACCAGTGTGCTAAAAAGTCAAGTCGTGGTCCGAGTGATGGCGGAAGCAAAGTGACATTGGTGAGATAACTGTGCAATTTCCCTCCAACTTTGTCCATCCACATTCCTTCTCGTAAGGGGTTATTCGTATTAGAGCTCTCTCTATCCTGCCTTTCACTACCCACAAGACCGTACAGGGCGGAGTTTCCCAAGACAATAATATCAATTAGTCACTTTGTTGAACCTGTCAAGTCTCACCCTCGATGTCGACCCAAGCTACCACGTCTCCCTCCGGGCAGAACGGTCAGACGGAATACAAAATCCCCAACTTGAAAAACATCAATACTTGGAAACAAACTCAATGGCCAGAACTGAAGAATGATATGATATTACGTGCTGTCAATGGCGAAGAGACGGACAGGGCTCCGGTTTGGGTCATGAGACAAGCTGGGAGGTATTTGCCAGGTGCGTAACATGATCAATGAGCTATACGATCCTCCTCCCCTCTCTCTCGTCTTGAAGAAAGATCTTTTAAATGAATTTCTAATATCACTTCATATACCCTCTCATACTCTCTCACGCCAAACAGTGAACATGAGCCGGCTTCAAAAGATTGGAGAGTGTTACCATATATGGTCGAAAGAGATACGATCACGTTGAAGAACTCAACCATAGGATCCAAATCATGTACACCCGCTAACCCATCAGAATTCTTAGCCCTTCGAGCCGATCATTCATTTTTCGAATGTTGTCAAACCCCAACATTATCTTCAACATTAACTCTACAACCTATCCAACGTTATCCATTATTAGATTCTTCCATCATATTCTGTGATATTTTAGTAGTACCTCAAGCATTAGGATTAGAAGTTTTGATGGAACCTCAACGTGGACCTGTTCTACCTTCTCCTTTAATCGACCCTGGTCATCTTACAAGACTAAAAACAGAAGTTGATGTGGAGAAAGAATTAGGATACGTATTTGAAGCTATTACGATGACTAGGAGAAAGTTGGAAGGGAAAATACCTTTGATAGGTTTTTGTGGTGCTCCTTGGACTTTGATGGCTTATATGGTGGAAGGTGGTGGTAGTAAAACTTTTGAAAAATCAAAGAGTTGGTTATATAAATGGCCAGAGGAGAGTAAAGGGTTGTTGAAAAGGATTGCGGATGTTTGTGCGGATTTGTTGATTGGGCAGGTTTTAGCTGGCGCTCAGGTGAGTTTTTCCTTCTTCTCGATATATGTGAATCTATGTTCATTTCCACATCAAAGCCTCATCTTTGACATGCCTTCATCTATCTCAGAAGGTTTCCTCCCTACTTTCAAAAACGTGATCGAGAATGAAGAGAGACATTGGGAATGAGGACCATCCGAATCGAATGATGGATTCCACTCTTTAGCGCGAAGGGAATGTTCACTCTAGTACAAGCGTACTTGTACTCTTAACAGACCTCCAATGAGATTGTAACACATGGGAATTCAGAGACAGCGTATATCTGACCCTCAGCTACTCCAAGTATTCGACTCCTGGGCGGGTGAATTGACACCACACCAATTCCAACAATTCGCCTTACCATCCCTTTTACACATTTCACATAAAGTACATCACGTACTTTCCACCTTGGGTCATCCATCTATACCCATCATCTTATTTCCGAAAGGTGTTCATTCACCTCAATCTCTCCGACTGCTGAGTGATCCAAAGATCACCGGATATTCAGCATTAGGATTGGATTGGACTTTAGATCCTGTGGAAGTCAGGGAGATCGTAGGGATGAAAGTTGCTTTACAAGGCAATTTCGATCCTGTTGTTTTGTATGGTGGGAGGGAAGGTATAGAGAGGGAAGTGGAGAGGTGAGTTGGAAATTAATTCACTTCCCATGGGTCAAGCTTTCTTTTTCTCGATCGAACGATCAGTCACTCCCTCTGGACTGTAGTCTTTGCCTTGGTTGGAATTTTTGGACCATCCAGCTCATGTCTTTTCCGAAAAAAAGATCAAATAGCTGACTTGAAGGGTTTGTGATCGGTGGAAATCAGCAGGAGGGGGATGGATAGCAAACTTGGGACACGGGATCACACCAGGTGTCAAACCGGAAGACATGGGTTGGTTTTTGGAATGTGTCCATCGGTTTTCGAAGCGGTAGGTCAAGGTGCAAAATGAACCTCTGAAGGGAGTGAATCTATGTCAGTGTAGTACATAGTGCTCGGAGGGGACGGATAAGAGAGGTTCGTACACTGCGGCGAGAAAAAATCGGGTGAGATCCGTTGGAATCGGCACAACACATAGGCAGCAGGAATTTTACTCAAGACAAACATGACATGCATCTTTTTCACAGTTAGATTCATAGTGGAGCTTCCGGACGAGAGGTAGGTTTGTCGGTGGACGCGGAGGAAGTCAGTGTGGGCGAATCATGGTCCGGAACGGACGTCGGTAGCACCTCCACTCTGCAAGTCAACACCTTATGATATGGTAGAAGGGATATGGAAAGGGGACACAGAGAGGAAACGAGGGAACAAGGGAATGACGGCAATACATGATAAGGCGCGAAAGAAAGGAGATTGAGATAACAGTGAAAATAATCATCATGACGAGATATAGCAGACGAAAGCGAAAGATGATCGAGGGAGGAAGAAATACACAGGTAAGAGATAGGAAATAGGTCAATGATAGAAGAGAAGAAGAAATATAAGAGCGGCGGGGGGGACATCAGAATCTCAACTCACCATAACAGCTTCCATCTCTTTATCCGTCCATTCACGTTGTTTCCAAAGTCCTTCTGGAGCTTGCCAAAAATATTCAAAATCAATTTTTGTTTCTTTCGCAGGTCTTTGTGATGTATTTGATCCTTGGGTCTTACTTTCTGACGATGACCACGAGGAGGGAGAAGAAGAGGAAGAGGAAGATTGTAATTTTTCAAGGAAGGAAGAGAAAGATTCTCGGATTTCTGGTGGTGCCGCTGGATGTGGACTTGGGGTATGAGGTTCTGCAAGTTAGTTATACATCTATGTTGATATCAACCATTTTCGATATGATCATTTGAAGAGATATGTTCAAACTCGGGTCGTTTTTTGTTTTCCATGAAAAGCTGAGAAATGTGAGGTGAGTCATACCGGCTGGTAAAAGTCCGGAAGATTGAGGGAAGGTACGTAGTGATTAAGCAGATAGACAGAGCGATAAGCGGAGTGAGTCAGAGGAAGGGGAGATAGGAAAGATGAAAGAGGGGGAAATGACACCCACCATGAGGTAATTTGGACCTTTGACCGAGGAATTTGATCATTGGTGTGTAAACATGTTTGGCCTTGAGAAACCGACTGGGGAGCATCGTGTTGCAGACTCGAATATTTTATCTCGATATTTTCAGAAGAAATGACGATGGATATTCGAGGATGGTTGTACGTGAGTATAGAGGAGGAGGGGGGATGTCACAGGGAAACAGAGAAGAGTTGGTCGGGATTGAGACCGATGAAATCCGAATCTGTTCAACGTGTAAGTGCTTGTACCACCCTATAACCCTTGCTACATGCTACAACTTTAGGGATGCATGCTGCACACCCTATCGACTAGGTTACTCAGAGTGGGACACTCTCACTCGTGCCATGCAGCCATACATCTATCACATTTCGTCACCCATCAAGACAACTACAGTTAAAGCTAGACCCACACTTGCGACTCATGGCGGTATCGCCAGCGACCGGACCCACAAAACCTACGGATAGCCTCTGAGATCTGTAATTCTGTAGCCAACAAGAACAACACGAAAGCTTACATGTATGACATGACAAGAAAGATACACCTCCCCCTTCACCCAACTCGACTCAACTCTCCAACCTTTCCTTCCCCTTCTCCACCATCTTCCACGACCTCCCCCTCCTCTTTCCCCACTGAGAAACAAACACATTCACCATCCGTTTCTTTCCTATGTCTTTCCATCTTCTCCCTGATCATCTGTCTAGTATGTAAACCTACCCTTCTACCTGAACGTTCATGTGGCGTATAAAGTATACTATGTCTTGGTATTTTACAACTTTGAGGATCTTCGATTTCTTTCGATTGTCCGATTACAATCTTCCCACTTGACGTTGCTACATTTCCCACCCCTGATAAATCTCTCCTACCATTACCTCCCGTCAAAGACATCTTGCCCACAGAGCTCGATTCCCACGTTTCGACATTGTTTATGACGGGATTGGTAATGAGATTGACGATTCCCTTCGAAGGTGATGTTGATAAACTCGAGTCACGTTCTGTATAAGGTGGAACTTGTACATTCTCAGAAGAACATAAACAATGTCCTAGATGAACAGGATGATCGACCCACATTCTTCTCATTTCACCTTCTGGTTTTTGTAAAGGATATTTTAACCAAGGTGGTAAAGGTGTATCCAAAGCCGATAATCCTAATAAAGAAAAATGTATCTCAACTCTTAATGTATGATTCGTTATCGCTTGTCCCTCATGTAATATACGATGAGGTGAACTTGGTATTGCACCTAAAACGGGTGAAGGGAGTCGTAGGGTTTTACCAGTCTCGAGCGAAGTAGGAGTTATCAAATGACCTGGGAAAATAGGTTGCGAATCTCTCGTTGGACATTTAGGTCCACGCCAAAGATATTCACCGTGAGATCCTCCGCGAGGACGTCGACCGTCTAGGAGAAAGTATGGTACACCGGTGTGAGAGAGAATGAAAGTGTCTGTTTGAGCTGCGTGAGGTGTACGAGTGGTTTGGATCAGCGAAATTTGGAGTGAATGAAGAGTTGCGTATGGAGAGAGGGAGTGGAGTGAAAGTGTGAAGTGAAATGAAGAACCAAGGACGAACTGGAGTCAGCGAAACGTCTGTCACCACTGATACCCAAGTCGACATCAGACTTTCAGAGTCGACCAGTGACACGTTAAACTGAAAAATTCAACCAAAGACAATGACGCAAGAATACACTTGCGCCAGGTGGAGGGGATAAACATAATTGAGGACCACGAGAGAAACGACGAGTGAGGTATATGTCATTTGAGCGAGCTTAGAAAAGACCTAGGGTAGTCGAGAGCCAGCGACACAAACCCAACTCACTAGATCAGACTGAGCAGTCAAGTCCAACCGTCCTAATCCCATTACATAACTGCTTCGTGTCCATAACAAAGTCCGTAACTCTCCTCTAGGATCCAAACTAGAAACCACCTCTACACGTCTTTGAGAATTCTCCACGCAATCTTTCAATAATTCCGGGATATCATTATCTTCTTCCTCTTCGGGCTTGGAATCCCATAAGCCGAAGGTGGAAGCGAGTGAACGAACGGAAGATGTTGAACCTTGGGTGTTGGATCTCGGACGAGTTTTCAACGCTTTGACAAGAGATGCAAAACTTGATGATCTTTCTGGCTTCTCTTTTTCTTTCTCCTTTTCCTTTTCACGTTCACGTTCCTTGGCGTATATTGGAATTTGTAAGTAATCGGGGTCAGAGATGTGTGGTGTGAAATTTGAGATGTGGGAAGTTGACGTATATGAGTCGTATGTTGGTGGGAATGATCCTGATTGAGTTTCGGAGGAAGGGAAAGAGAATGCTGGAATGTTTGGATGCGACGAGCTGTGTCCATTGAGAGTTGTCAAACCACGGGACGGAATTCTGACTAGGTTCTCGAGATGGATGTGTCGGGCGAGTAGCAGGAGTGGTAGGTCTAGTGAAATAAAGCCATGCGGAGGGTGTGCCAGGTGTGGAAGGTCGAGTAGAGTTGAACAACATGGGTGTACCAGGTGTGGAAGGTCGGGTGACGGGAGGCGTAGAGGATTGAGAAGGCCGAGTAAAACAGGACAACACCGGTGTTCCAGGTATGGAAATGCCGTTGAGCGCATGACCGACAGAAGGTATACCAGGCGTGGAAGGTCGAGTAGAAGGAAGTGACGATAAAGGTGATAATGAAGATCTCCTCATGTACATGTTAGAAGAATCTCCAGTGTCCACGGGAGTAGAAGTCGGTGTGTTGGGCGTATGTGGACGAGTGGGATAAGGTGAAAAATCAGGTTCAAAGTAACCTGGTGGATCTTCTTCTATGGGCATTCTATAAGTGGCTAGGGAAACGTCGCTTTGATTCCTACTGGAGAGATTGAGATCGTCATTCTCTCCCTTGTCATCATGCACATTCTGACCATCACTTTGCTGTCCGTCGTCTTGTGTAAAATCTTCGCCTTTTCTCCTGACGGTATCGTGCGAAGAAGAATAGCTGTCTCCTTGACGAGCGATTGAACAAAACTCGCTGTCTCTTCTTGTAGAAGGTTCAGAATCACCGTCCGGAGCGTATACATCACTCGGCCTTTCGCCTGATCCTAAGACGCATGGTGAAGCTGGGATGTCGGATACGTGTGTAGACGTGAGTGTGGGTGTGGAGATAGGAATAGGGATAGGATAATCAGGTAAAGTCTCCCCTATACCAACATACACACAATGTATTATCCTCTCCAACGGACCTTCCAAACTTGGAGGCAAAACCGAAGGTAAATTCAATGTGAAACCCAAATTCTTCTTCTGTCCTGTCACTAGACAGATATTATGGGATGTTATGGGTAAAGTGATAGTGTAGAGGATGGACTTGGAAGACCAATAAAGTTGTCCTTCTTTTGTCGGACGACGAGTTTGACGTGTGACTTGGTATAAAAGTCTGATAGGGCCTATGGTTTTCGATTCGTCTTGTCCATTTTGATCAGAGAAGTGTCTCGGTTTGGAGAGTGGAGTGAAAGATGTTTTGGGACTTTTAGGTGTTGCGGGTCTAGATCGAGATTGGGATTGAGTAGTAGTATTGTGGTGAGAAGGAGGGAAAGAGATTGATTTTGAATGAGGTCTGGTCTGGTTGATAGAGATATTCTTGGATTGAGAATATCCAGGTGGGATAGTCGAGTTGAGATGAGAAGTGTTATGGTATCGGGAAGATTGTGAAGAAGTAGAAATATGAGATGATGGTTTACGAGGAGGGATAAGGTAGGTAAGAGTGATCTCACCACGAATGATGGTATCATCGATTTCAGGTTTATAGTAACCTTCTTGAATATGTGTACTCGGACCGTTCCCGTTGAGGTTTTCCCGTCCAAGATCGGGAGTGAATCCTCTTCCAGCAGTATGAGAGTTCTCTCGCCCGTTAACATTGTTTCCCCGTTGAGCTAGAGTGTCCCTCCATCGAATATCATCCGTTCGTGGAGATTGGCGAGTTCGACCAATGGCAATATCCGAAGAACCGCCGTCCAAACCGAAACCCCCGACCGATGGGGTAGACGGACCAGACCTCGTATCCTGATTATGGGATAGACGCAAGACCCTAGGTCTTAATACGGATCGAGAGGAAGAAGCTGGAAATAAGAAAATGGGAGTAGGAATGTTAACTGTGATTTGGACTTCTGACATCGTTCGTGCGCTGCCTCTTTCTTGCCTTACTTGCTCCAAATTGACGATGCTCTGACCCTCTGATCGTCTGACCGTCTAGCTTTCCAGATTTCTGGATGTTGAGTTCCGGGTGAGATACGTCTCGATGTGGAGAATAGTTGATCCTATTAAAGAGCACCCGAGGGGCACCTTTTGTGGATGTTCCTCGTTGGAACAACGTTGTACAGCCCTTGCCTCACTTTCGACCTGCTGGGTACTGCAATCCGCCATACGTTGTCTCCAGACCTGACGGTGGGATGAGAGTCAAGTAAGAGTGAGATCAAGAAATGACAGAGACAGGGTCTTGCCCGGTAGTTACAGTAGTAATTCCTCCCCAACGCCGAAGTAGGCCGATGATCCGATGAGCCGATGACCTATAGCTAATTAGCCTACAGTATGTACTTTGTTCCGGGTGTTAGTATCCATATCTTAAATCTCCGGTAAGACGCCGGATCAGTCCAGGTTGTCGACATGTCAACTGCATACAGAAAGAGATACAAGCAGAGATAGATGACATTCGATGCATGGCAGTATCAGAGGAAACATCACGCCCATCGAGATGATCGTAGAGGACCTTCGAGTTCTCTCTCTTTGAACCCTCTGCCTTTTCTCGTGACTCCATCGGCTTCACCCTCCGTCTCTCTGATAGCCCTGTCGACCTTCATACCACCTCCACGTGTGTCTCCCGTCTCCCCCTGTCCTTCCTCATCTTTCTCAGCTTCAGATCGTCTCATAGATCGCCCAATTGGACTGAGACTCTTCTGCCTACCCCCTGACACCCTCCGCGGAGGAGTGACAGTGGCCGATCTACCTCTTCCATCTGAATCAGATCTCAGTGACGCAGCGACCGTGGAGCTCGGTGACCTCTTCCTTCTTTTGGGTGATGGACTGTAGGATGGTTTCCGTCTTCTTGGAGGTGGACCTGGAGAATCTCTTCTTTTCCTCGGTGGTGTCGGGGATCGGCTGGGTGATCGTCTTCCGACCCTCCGAGCAGGGTCAGGAGGGGGCGAAACGTCATCGGGATACCGTCTGTTCTTCTTCGGTGGTGGTGTAACACTGGGCGAATCTTTGCGCTTTCTTGCAGGAGATTCACTCTCCGGAGATCTACCCCTCCGCTTCGGTGGACTCCTTCTCCTGACAGGACTCCTGGGCCGTGAAGGGGACCGCCGTTTATGTCGTCTCACCGGTGACGGACTCCTGGTACGAGTGGGTGATCGTATGCCTTTACGTCTCCTCACAGGTGAGGGACTACGAGATACAGTCGGGGATCTTTCTCTTTTTAGAGGAGGTGTATCGTCTCTTTCACGTATCGATCCTCGTCGACGTGGAGGAGTGACGCTCCGACTAGGCGAACGACGTCGACGGACAGGTGGAGATCGACGTCGGGGTGAAGGGGAACGACGTCGAGGTGGACTATTAGGTTTGCGACGTGGAGAAGGCGACCTTCGATATTTTCTAGGAGGACTACGACTATTTGACCTGTCGCGTTGAGTTCGTCTTTCCCATTTGCCAGGTCCATCACGTCCACTGCCTCCATCTTGAGCTCCATACCCGCCCGCGTCGTCATTACTACCATTGCTGTATCCCCCGTGGCTAGAGTCATTAGGACCAACATATGGTCCTCTCTGTCTGTCATCCGGTCTACCACCCCTCGGACCATAGCCTGGATCACGAACATCAGGTCCTCCTCCCCTTGCTCCATACCCCGAATCCCGCTCCCGTGGAGGTTGGAAATTATCTCTCCTGAATCCTCCTCTGGGAGGATACGCACGATCGTTCTTTGTATTAGCTAGCGTTCCCCGAGCTCAAAGAGATAGCTTACCTGGGGGGGTCGGTCAAACGAGTCTTGTGCTGTGGGTCTACCGCCACGGGGTGGGTCTGGGATGACCGGAGTGGCTTGTTGAGCTTGTTTGGCCCCTAATTCGGCTTTTTTTGCTGCGATGAACTGAAGTCAGCACGGTCTCAGCACCTTGACCGCTTTATAACGGCAATCAGTGCGGATGAAGTCAGGCTCCAGGTACGAGGCAAGAAGCACCTGAGCGGTGGAAGAATGATAGGGAGGGCCGTCATTGGCAGGGTGAGTCCCTCAAGAGAGAGCCCTCGGCTTCAGTGACCAGGCAAGGGGGATACACGATTCACACGAAAGCGTGGCGAAAAGGCTGCCAGAGGATGAACAACATCACTCACCTCGGCGGGAACACCCCCAACGGTCTTCTGGGCGGATAACAACAATGTCCATAATTGGTCCATGAAGGCGGCAGCACCATGTTTGTCCATGAACCCAACCAAGTTGACTTGCATTTTTCTCGGATCAGGGATCTGGCATGAGCTTTTTACACAATCATGAGACGGCAGAAAGGAAAGACGAGAAAAGCGGGATGGGTCGTGTAAATTCATAACTCACAGGATTGTCCCTATCCTCCAACATCCCAAATGCAAACTCTACCACTATATCATCTTCTACACGTATCAATTCGGTGACTTTCTGAGCTACCCAATTACGTAGGACCGAGACGTTGACTTTACGCAAGTCGACCTGAGAGTGAGTAGAGCTCTTCACGTCGCTGCCCCGCTTTTCCCCATATTTAACCCTGTGCGGATCTGCAAAGTTCGGAGAGGGAAGGTAAGAAAATGTCGCGCAAGTACAGTCAAAGGAACAAGATGGGAAAACGGAGAGAAGAGAAGATAGGAAGTGGGTGCAAGAGGAAAGATGGACACACCTTCTGATCGAAATGTTTGGGGAACTTTGTAGCTTTGATAGAAGCAGCCTCTTTATCTTTGAACCTCTATTTGTGAGTACTGACCCTTCTTCCTTGGTCTTAAGTCCTCTTCATGGGTTCAAGCATCCCGTCTGTCCATAGACCAGGCGAAGGAACTGTGAAAGACACGCCAGTATAATGTTCCCATCCCAATCGAATAATATGGGACACGACCCAAGCAGCGAAGAGAAGAAGAAGACTGACCGAATCTTGACTGGCGTTGGTTCCTCTTAGACCTGACATAAGCTGCCATTTCATCCAAGCATATAAGAGTTTACCTATATCCGCCATGTTGACCCTCTCTCCTGCTTTCTAGTTGATGCTTTGCACGAAGTCAGTCAGCTTAGTAGAGTACAAGTAGAATCTTGCTGGTCTCGTGAATGACTTAGTTGCTGGTGGGGTGCCAATTGAAGAACCGCCACGGGCCCAAAACGCCGGTACTCAGGATAACGCCGGGTTGGCCTCCACATTTGATGTCCTGCCGCAAACCCTCCCAATGGGTGCATCTACATACAAACCTGCAACGATACCAACCATAACTACCGAACAGACAGCTAGACCGGACGTGGTCAAACCTATCAGCTAGTTGATCATATACCAATAGGGCTCTGACGGACAGCCGGATTAGGTGAGATGGCCACTCTCCCTATGCCAGTCGGGACGGGACCTGGGACTGGGCAGCCTGCGTCAGGGGGAGGGGGAGTTGGACCATCGACATTCCAGAATATATACTATCAACGAGTGAGTCTTCTCTTCAGCATACATAATATCACCCCTCTGTTATTTGCGACCAGTTCACCCGGTTCTTTGAGTGGATGTATCAAGCTATATCCATCTCGAGGAGGTGGCGACTCTTCATCAGATCAGACAGGGGAGAGGAGAGGGTGATCCATGGTCACGTATGGCAGGGAAACGTCGTGGTCAGGAAGAGTCGGGTGCAATATTGACGATGCTCAACTTGCAGTAATCAGTGACAGAGCTGAAAAGAGGGAAAGGGTGCCTCATGGGGGTGACGATAGATCATATGGTCGAAAATGCTGATCTTGTAGGCCACAGCAACGGATCGACCATGTTATGTCTGTTTGAGACCAACCGCTGTGGTCTTATGGCGGGCTGAAGATTTCTTCTATGTGTGCGAACGACACCTGAGTGACCCGTATGTCTCGTCCCTTCTTATATCTCTCCTTTCTCCTCTCCTTCATCGCTCATCGATCTCCGTCGTGTACGGATAGTCTCAGGTTTGCAGCACTTCCTCGTCTACTTGTATCTGTCCTTACGTCGGTGAAACAGACATTTGCTAATCAGTCAGGAGCTTGTATGTGTGCAACCCAATTATCGGTACACCGATCAGCTGATCTCAGCGCAACCCTCATTCCTCCTCCCGGCTCCGGCCCATCAGATGAAGACATCAAGAAGGTCATTGCCGACCACCATGCTCGAGAAGAACGTAAGAAATTGGCGCAGAAGGATGGTCAACCTAAAGTGAAAGATGAAAAAGAGAAAGGAAAGGAGGGAAAGGATAGTAAAGGGGAAGAGAAGAAATCTTCGAGACAATCATCCCCACCTCTTTCCATACCGAATTCCAACCCTCCGACTCATAAGAAATATACTTTACATCGACATATATTTGATATGCGTAGGGCGGAGGTGAAGAAACGAGCATTGGGTCAACAAGCTAAGGAGATGACGAAAGGTGAGTGATCAGTATTGATTCAGACGACTACGAGGGGGAGTGACCTCGACCGCTTCTAGGTGTCTGAATGATGATGGGGTAGGGCATGCTTGAGTGGGGAGCGCATCGAAAACTTATTCAGAAATTGACTGACGTTATAGGATTACCGCCTGTCCCCAGAGGGGGGTTTTGAAGTTCGGGGTCCTGTCCGGTATATCTATGCTACATGCAATGCAAGCTAGCTGGCTTGCATGACTGCATATTGATAAGATGTGTGTCCATGCTACTCGACAGCTCGTCAGACTAGTATTTGTCCCTTAACGTAACAAGCTTGCTCAATCATATCACTTGTACGGTCGTGTTGTATGCATTCTTGGCTCGCTCAGCCACCATGTCGGGAAAAAAGTGAATCATGGACTGCTGCTCTCTTTGCAACAATCTCTCCTCCCTTCTCTTCACCTCTTTACGAATACATTTGCCATACATCGACATCCAACTGTGTCACCGATCACTACTGTTGTAGACACTGTAAATCGCTTCCGGTCGGATTATATGTACGTGCATACAAGTAAGTTAAGTATTCCGGGTCCAGGAGCTTCGAGCTTACAGACTGTTGTCAGAGCAACGTCCAGTCGAAATTTGAAGATACATCTTTATCTCTCCTACTCTCACCATGGCACCCAGTAGGACAGTTTTTGGTGGGTTCACCGTTTCCTTGCTCTCATCTCAGCGTGCATGACCATGCGTTTCAATCAGTAGATTGTGAGCCGGCACTGTTCGAGTAAAGCTGATATGACAGTCGCAAATTTGGCTTTGTACGTTCACCGTCGACCTGCTGCTTTTCCACCTACCACCCTTTATCTCTTCCTCTCAGACACGGTCAATCTTCTTCTCGTGTCATTCCAATCCTTCGCAGTTTCCACTCCAGTTTCCATAATCTTAATGTCAATCCCCTTCCCTTGTGTGGCACGGCCTGACATGATCTTCCCTCTGATATCCGCCTGCACACTGTTAGGGGTGGCTTGAGGCCAAATCCTGACGATCAGCGACGTATCAGAAGAACAACTCGCCAATGTATTCTCAGAAGTCGGTCCTGTCCAAAGTGCCGAGTGAGTAGATTCATTTCATCGTCATCGTTATCATCCTCTTGACCTCTCTTCAGTAGGCTACAGATAAAAAGCTATCCACGGATCGAGTATCCTCTGAAAGCTCCCAGTACTACTCCGTTCGCAATCGACACATGCGACGTGATGCGTGGTTTTCTGTTGGATGTGCTAGACGATCAGAAGGACAGAGGGACAGATAGAATAGGAAACTGACAAACAGGATCAAGTTCGATAACCAGACTGGTCGACCGAAAGGGTATGCTTTCGTGACTTTCTATGGTAAGTATCCTCTTCGTATCATCCTCAAAGCCCCTGTTATCCAACTGTTCATTGGCTTCCCTCCCATATACCCACCTACATCAAACCTATCTCGGCAGACTTCTTCCTCTGCCTTGTCCTCCATGATCTCTTTTCCATCCCATTCTCGCGCCTGTTTCTAGCGTAGTAAAGATTGGGATCTATCGGACTATTGAGTTGTGGTGGTGTCTCACCCTTCGCATCAACACGTACTCCAGACATCGTGCTTTATGAGGTAATGAACAATCACGCAGCCTTCTGATTCCCAGACGAAGCCACAGCCATTTCGGCCATCCGTAATCTCCGCGACACAAACGTCAACGGTCGTACCCTCCGTATCGAGCTTTCCAACGACGATCCCGCCTCCTCTCGTAGACGTAGAGACCATGGTCCTCCCGCTCCTGTCAATCGAGACTTGACGCCTCCAGTACATGCACCATACAGGGACGAACCAAATATCGATCTTTACAATTTACCTCAGGGCCAAGAAGTGTTGCCCGGGGAAAAAGCCACAGATGTTATCTCTAGGACTTTAGCCGCTGTCACTCCTGGACAGATGCAGGAGGTCATGGCTGGCGTCAAGGTGGGTACTGAATCCCTTCTTTTTCGAATTCGTCCAACTCTGTATAAAAGCAGACATCAATAGTGATGGAAGAGGAGCAAGGTTTACTTTGCCTTCTCAATTCTTGAGCGATGAAGACGAGTTATGGGTGACCAGCCTCCAGCAAGGTGGAATGATCTTGTACCTTGCAGGCTCGGAGCAATACGAAAAGTGCAGTCGCTGATGGGTATAGACATTGATAACTTCCCATCCGGAACAGGCGAGACAGTTGTTGGCTTCTCAGCCTCAGTTGGCATATGCGCTTTTTCAAGCTATGCTTTTGATGAAGATTGTCGATCCATCCATCCTTCAGGTGAGTCATACTTTCACCAACTTAGTGGAGTTCCTATTTACTATACTCGCCTGTTCTCCCGTGTTCCCTTGTACCCCATATACACATGTCACACTTCAACTCTGCCGCTGCATTGCGGTCTGTATGACCTCTTTTATCCCTCACTCTCCGTTGAGGGATGTAAACACGTACTTGATCACCATTCGCTGTCCGCAGCAATATGTCCATTCTAACGAGCGACCCCTAGGGTGAGCTGACAATCTCAGCGAATCTCCCCTCTACCACCCGCAGCTCCACCGACCAACTTTCCTCCCGTTTCTCAAGCGCCAACAAGCTTTCCTCCCTACCCTCCAACCCAATCTGCCCCAACTTATCCCGCAGTCCCTGCTCAAACCTATGCTACAGCCCCAGCAACGGCCCAGACGTCTTATCCCGCAGCAACGGCCCAGCCGTCATACGGCTACCCCCCGGTTCAACAGCCTACTCAACCTGCTCAGCCGGCTCTGCCTGCGCATCTTCAAACCGCTCTCGCTTCTTTGCCAGAGGACCAACGCGTGAGTAGATGTCACCTGACAGGCAATGCACGAGCTGACCAGGATAGGCAATGTTGACACAGGTTTTACAATTGACCCCGGATCAGATCAACCGGTTGGATGCGGGACAAAAAGCTACAATCATGCAATTGGTCAGTCTTTTTGTGGTACAAGTTAGTTGGGGCGGAGCTGATGAGATAGAGACAACAATTCCTCGGTGCGGCAGCGTGAGAAAGGTCGAACTCGCGTGTGTTAATGATACCCGTGTGAAGAACATTAATGAATCGGGAGAGGGAGAGAAGGATGGTAGATCAAATTCACGAGCGAAGAAGGTTGTGAGAGTATCCAAAGGATCACATAGAACTGATGGAAACTGGTATCAAAACCTTGAGATATGAATGTGGGAAATACTGCTATAACTACGCCATCAGGTTGAAATTGTTCGCTGTGTCTACTTCAACAGAGAGGCACTTCTGGGTCAAGTCACGTATTGCAAGTACGGTAAAACATTGATGAGGGGGGCAGTAAATCGACAAAGCCTCAACGTCGGACCCTGAGGGACTGCAAAAACACCCATTGATTGCCTACAGACGGGTCATCTTCTGACCTTACGTCAAGTGCAGGTACCAGGCCAGGCAGACTGATTGTCCTGACGGACCATACTCAAAGGTTACAGACGTTGCTTGATCCCACTCCGATAGTTCGTCGGCCTGTTCAGCATGGATGCATGGAGCGTGTCACATGTCGTAAAAACTTCTCACTTCATCAGTTGACTTCTACACTCCCTCTACCCCTCGTGTTCCAGTGACACAGTCTACCATACTTTACTCTGCCGTTTGCCATAGACCATAAGATTTGCCGGGGTTCGTCTGCCACAGTCGGATTGTCCCTTCATGTCAGTATTCTTCCATTCTCTATCGATCTCCCTATCACGACTGCACTCGGACCTCTGATCCAGAGTCTTAGATCTGGATCATCGTACCTTCTGGGTCCCGGATGAGACGGCATATGGAGGTGGCAGGGAGGAGAGGGAAAAGACGACTCACCATCCTCACTCCCACTCGCATACACTTCCCCATCAGGTGAGTACGAAGCACACAACACCGGTCCATGATGACCTTTATACACTTCCTTCTCCGCACCAGTGTCCAAATCATACACTCTGACCCAAGGATCCGCCGTGGATCCAGCTACGAATCGGTCTCTGTCGAACGGATGAAGCGAAGCCGACGTGGGAGGTTGGGAGAGAGGAATTGTAACAGGGGGATGTTGACTGAACCCATCAGATATGTCAACAGGGAAGTGTATGTTGACTCAGACTCACCGCTGTATGTCCAAGAAATGTACCTTCTTACCAGCGGTCACACTCAGCGTACCGCCACCATGAGCCAGCTCCATTGACGTCACGGGATCTCCGAGGTCTAATGAGGCGGTTTGAGATAGAGACCGAAGGTCCCACCATCTATCGAGTTAGTCCGACCTACAATTTGTGTGGTGCACCACTTCTCGGTCAATGAATCGACAAAACGAAGAAAGTGAGAAGGGGAGGAAGAGAAAACAGTGTGGTAGAATACCCACCTAACTAGTCCATCCTCGCCCGCGCTGACCCCAACGGTCCCGCCGTGAAACTCATCCCATACAATGCTACGGATCACTCCCTCGCAAGACAGACCCTCAGAGTTCTTGCCCAGAATGAGAGGATCGGCATCTGGACGACCGAGATCGTATAGTCGGATCTTCTTTTCGTGCCCTCCCTGTGTGTCAGCTGAGCATGTCAAATCCTCGTGATCGGTATCTATTGGTTGTGCCACGTGTCGACTTTAATCAAACGGACACATGGTCGGTACCACTCACGGTCAAAAGATATTGTGAAGTCTGTTGTGGATTCAAGGCAACGGTGCGGACGATATGGTTGTGAGTGAAGGAATGAAGTGCTTCGCCGGTAGCGCAATCCCATATCTTTCTGCTATGTCAGCAAGAGTGTGACTGGGAAAGAATGAACGCACGCAGAAAAATCGGCAGAACCGGTGACGGCCCGAGTTGTGTCGAGAGAGATCTTGGAAGACCAAACGGCTCCTTTGTGACCTGCATGTGAGTGGGGAGGGCCAGCAGAGGGCTACATGATACATCAATCGCTGTAGAGGACGACGTAGGTAGCTGGTGGCAAAGCGCATTGGGGGCGAAGTAGAAGAATATTGGTGGCCATGAATGTCAACGGAGATGGTGTGAAATAATGGCGACACAAAGCGAAAACATACCTATGAACGTCCCAATCCAGTCTCCTAACCAGCTTCTGAGCATAGGATTTCCGTCTTTGCACGAGGATATGAGGAGGTAGGTACCATCATCCAGTCTGTAGAAAGATCAGCAGCTCTCACTGGGCACGATCAGCGATTGGGGCTCCTCAGAGCTCATCTCTCGTACACATTCAGTCTGAGCGACAGGATATGGGGCAGCTCTCGGGGTTCAACGAAGCTGGTCTACATGGTATTACTACTTGTAGTGATGGGAAGGGTAGAGGGTTCACCTACAAATTGGAGAATTGAAGATGGACCACAGGTCTCGTATGTCCTGAACAGAGAAGAGGTTGGACTTTGACTCCTGGAACAGTTCCTCCGTTATTCCCATTGCCATTGGGGAGTCCAGTCATTCCACCCAGACCCGGGCCGGGATTCATATAACCCTGTCCGTTTGCCATACCCATGGGTTCTGGTGTCGGGGTGTGCGAGTATGGGTTTCTATACTGACCGTTCATTGCGAGTTTGAGGATATAATGGAGATCTTCGAAAATAGAAATGGATGGAGGAATACGAAAAGATCGACTGTGGACTGGCCGTGCCGTATATGGTATGAGAGGGAGATGACGTCGTGGAGTCGTTCAAGAGGTGTGAGAAGCTACACCGTGTGTTATAAAAGGGTCGTCCAGCGAGAGAAGCACCGGGTTGTAGGACCGGTTTGATGAGAACGTGAGACTGGCGGATAGATTTGCAGTGCAGGGGATGTAAGGTGGAATGAAAGGAAGGTGTCAGATGGGAGGGGAGGTAAGATCGTGATTCGTCAAGTCGTGTCGTTATGATCAAGCTAGATGGGAGGGGTCAGACCTACGGGGAAGTGTTGGGTATATGAAAAGTGTTGTATGGAGAGGGTTGTATGTGAATGATGTGAATCGGGGTATGGATGAATGTTTGTAGATGAGATGGATGGCGGAGATGGAAGAGAAGTGAGGGAAGACTAGTACTGGATTGGTTATCTGCGCGTTTGATGGTGATAGTCCGTGAGTCGATCAAGTAAGTTAAGTTTCTGTTGACTGATCCACTGAGTCGAAGAGATTTGAGGTGTGAAAGATTGGGAAGAGATGGCCTGGGAGATGATAGGGTAGGGGTGTGTGTGTGAGAGAGAGAAAGAGAGAGAAAGAGAAGATAGAGGAGAGTGAGTTGTGAGGTACAGTAGATTGTGTTGAAAGGGAGTGAGTGCAGTAGGTGGAATACGCTGCCACATTGGTAATCCCCGAGAAACCCCGTCAGCCATTTTGCAACCGTGCAACCGTGACTTGCCTCATACAAATTCACCTTTCTCTCTCTCTCTCTGCCTCTCTGCCTCTCTCCCCCTCTCTCTAAATCACACTTAGGTCATACAACACATCCGATTCCGTCTTCAACATGAAGCTCGTCAGGTGAGTTAGCACTCTCTCAGGTCTCGCTCATGAGAGTCTCATCCCAATGGACCGACTGCTGATGCCAGATTCTTGATGAAGCTCAATAACGAGACGGTCACGATGGAGTTGAAAAATGGGACCGTCATTCATGGGACTATCACATGTGAGTCGCCCATCTGCAACAACTGTCTGTAAGCTGATCGCACTCTCCCTTACTCCCCTAATCTACAACGCTCAATACCTACTTGTATGATCTCTTCCCATATCGTCATTCAACACTTCTGCTATTTTGCAACATGTGATGACCCCTACAATCACGCTTGGTCTCAACAGCCGTGGATCCAGCGATGACAACCCATCTTAAATCTGTAAAGATGACACTCCGTTCTTCTCCCCCCGGCACACCTCCTATCAGTCTCGACTCCATAGCGATAAGAGGAAACAACATCCGATATTACGTTTTACCCGATTCTCTTCCTCTCGATACTTTGCTGGTGGATGACGCGCCTAGGGCAAAGAAACGGAAGGAAGGTGGTGGTCCTGTTGCGAGGGGTGCGAGAGGACGGGGCGCGCCAAGAGGTGGAGGAGGAAGAGGCGGAGGCGGAGGCGGTGGGCGAGGGGGACCAAGGGGCAGAGGCTTCTGAGAGGCGTCAGACCAATATCATTATCTCCTCAGAACGTACTTTCGTTCCCGCCGATCCCATCTTCCTTCCGCATATTCGTTTCTGACCACTATACTTCGCCAGGTTTACTTGAGGGGGATGTAGCTGGGTAAGTTCAGGATTATTTTTGTGACAGGGGGGCGAGGGTTAGGTGAAGAAAGTACCAAAATGAAACCAATCTCTACCCTGTCAAGCAATGGACAACATGCATCGTGTAATACTTATCATCTATCGTTCAAGCCATTTTCTTACTTGCTAACACGCGATGTTGATGTTACCCAAGACAGACTCCGTTGGAGTTATCGGTTGCAGCTGGAAAAAGATGTGACAATGCATCCTCAGATCCAAATAATCGACAACAAGATGTAAGTAATGTCCTTCCATGTACTACCCTCTCGACATCCCCCAGATATCCTCCATGATGCTAGTCGCACAACCTATTCGACGTCTCCGGGTTTTTGCCGAGCCAGATGAGCAATCAAGTAATGATCTCGTCACGTATCGAAGCCCCACTCGTCGTCTACTCACAAGAAGCTGAAGATACCCAGCAGCCCCATTGACCCACCCACAAACCACTGGACCAAGTTGACACCGCCCACCATGCTTCTTCCTGCCCCACTCGTGCCAGTGGCCGCTGCACTCGAAGCAGAAGGCGAAGCACTACTCGCACCACTGGACGTCGTAGAATTCCCCACTACGGTCCCATTCTTCATCCTGACATCTGACATTCCCAGCTTTGTCCCATTACCCGCATAAGCTACCACGTAAACACCATCGTATCCTCCCAAACCGACATTTGCCAAAGTTTCAAATCCACTTTTGGTAACGTTGATCAAACTCGTGTTCGAGGACGAAGACCATCCTACCGTCTCCCAATTACCCACTTCCGTCGCTCCGTTCCAAGAAACACTGACAGTGTACTGATCAGATAGAGTAGAATCGGAGTTGTTGGATATGACAGAGATATTAGGGCTGGTAGTTGGATAAGCGGTCCAATTTTGACGTATGGCTCGATAAGATTGAACATCGGGTGGTAAACCAAATTGAACGGCGGAAAGAAGTGTACCGTCCGATGAATACGTCGAAAACCATGGTTGTGCTCCCCAACCGATCAAGTAAGAACCATCGGATTCTAATTCCACTGAACCTTGCGAGACGGAGACGGAAGAGTTCCATGGGAGGAAAGATTGAGAAAGGGAGATGGACATGCTGGAGAGATCGATATTGAGTAAAAGACCACGAGCGGTGGTCTCGTCAGATTCGAAATCTGCAGCACCGTTATCGAATATACTGGCGAGTCAACGACAAGTCTTTCTTCAATGTGTCACTATGGGGGGAGGAAAAGGATAGACAGGAGTCAGGAAACTCACGTCATCTGACTTTGACCGTTTCTCCACCTGGCATGATGTTGCCATTCGAAAGTCGACCCATCAGCCATTGAGAAGCTAGAATTTTTTCCGTTGATGGTCCAGAGGATACTACCGTCACTACCGGAAATGTAATACACCGCGTGACAATGTCGGGAAGAGACGAGATAATTTCCGGCGTCATCTTTCTCTATAGAGTTCATATGCTTTTGGTCAGTTATGACCCCTCACATGCCTTCATAGCGTGGAATGTCCCTCTGAAAGTTTTATGAGGCTCGTGAAAACCGAGGGGATGTTGAGTGTGATGGAATGAGTTGGGTTCAGAACGAAGGGAGATCGTGAGACAGTGTATAATCAGCGGAAGAGTGAAGAGTAGTGGAAGGGGCGAAGATAGATTGAGGGGAGGAAGAAGACCAACAAAATAATCCCAGGGTTCATCCTCTGAAACTCCTGTTGAACCAGGAGCAGCATACCCCATACTCGGATCCACATGGTCCAACGAAGCCCAAGTGAAGATTGCCTCTCCGGTGGCAATGTTGATCTCTTGAAAATAACAATTCAACAACCATCCTTGAGATCCGTCTGTCGTCGTGACGTTGAAAGACGACAGGTCGTACTGTTCTGCTGCGTAGATGGTGATCAGAGCAGTGTCGTTGGTGGTTATCTGGAACTGGTGAAGATGAGCTGAGATTCCATTTAAGGGTGCCACTCAGGGAGGGTGGAGGGAATACTTCTTCCTCTGTTTCCAATGATTAAGCGGGGACGCACTTCTTCTCTTTCTTATTGGGGGAGAGAGACCGATGGGAGAGATGGTATCATGGTACAAATCGTTGAGCCAGACTACAGGACATTCGTCATATGTGCGAGTTTCGGGCATGATATCGACATGGGACTCACCTCGTGAAAGTCATTCGTCTGATTGACCAACGTTGTCGAGCTGCCATCAGCATCATTCCCCCCTTGTGACGAGCAATGTATACGGAAGATTCCAGAAGAGTCCCCTTTTTGGAATATCAAGAAAAAGAGGAAGCTTACACATTCGTTACGACTTGATACATATCGTCCAACAATATCTGTTTCCCATTGCCATAACCCCCCGCATTGAAAGCACCTTTCCATAAAGCCAACACGGACTTGCCTTGATAAGTCTGAACGGAGAAAGCCATGGTCTCGCCCCACGATGAACCGTCCCATACCATTTCACCGTCATTGTCGAAGATGTACGCTCCGTGCGCCAAGACGGAAGTGTCGCGAGGAGCTATGAATATATAGCCTGGTGGAGGAGGAGAAGAGGGATATACGTCAAAATTCCATTTGACCCTGGTATGAGCTGTGTACTAGTCTCCGTGACATCCTGGGATCCCGATTTGACATCCTTAAGAAAGAGCTATCTGATACGTTGGGGTAACGAGGAGTCGTGTGACTTGAAAGGGTCCCAAAGCCAGGTGTAGAGATTGATTGGAGAACGAGGTCCATGGCGGAGACCACGACCATTTAGTCATCAGGACTAGGGAGATGGCACTAGCAGCGAGGTTCTAAGATCGGACAGAGTACAGAGTATGACTCACGGGGTGGAAGATGACGACTGGAATGTTTGATATGGCGACGGTCCTAACGCTCCACTGGCATAATCAGAAGAAGCGTTGTGATATGCTGCTGCCTTTGTCAATCCGACGTAGACTATCACTCCCAACGCGGTCCTCATCTTTATGGGCCTACGATTGTTCATGTCAAGCTGATTGTGAACAAGTAAGAGTAGTACTCTACTTGTTCATGTGCCAGTGATACTTACCCGTACTTTACTCTCGTACTGCGCTTGCTGCGGTCTCTTCTGTCATGGCAATTGTTTGCTCCGGATCGTCCGGAGCCCCGATCGACCGGTGTCGGATCCTAATGTCAGGCACGCGCGCGGTCCGGGTTGGAGACGCGCCACGTGGCATTTGCCTCTCATCCAGTATCAACTGTCCAACGAGCTGGCTGGCTGCTGGGTCGTGTCTAATCCCTGCTGGTACTTACATTGTAACTACAGCTGCAGGCTAGGACACGACGTAGAGCGCAGATATGAGAACGGCAAGAACGTTTCACTGCCTAGTACTGGCCCTGTCAGCTTGTCTGATCGACGCAAGATCTGGTTTAGGAGTAAAGAATGCCAAAGTCGTCATCAGCTCGCCGGACGGGTTGGACGATGCTACTTATTCGTGAGTTTCCCTTACTTACCTTTCCCTCGGTTACCTCAGTACATGCAACGCTTTGAGATGGCTTTCTGAAGTAGACTGATATCTGTGAGAACTGTGAAGGAAGGTCGTCCCTGATAGGCAGATTGAAACAACCTGAACCGCTACCATCTCCAATCGCCTTGACCGAGACCTCTTCGTTCAAACTTACCTTTACCGTGGTAGATCTCACAGGATCTTCTGTCTTTCCTAAACAGGCGCACTTGTTATTCGAAGGGATAGCAGATGTCACTTTGCCAGTCTCTGTCAAGCCAAACGGTAGAGCGAGCTTCACTCTGGTGAGCATCTAGTCCCAACTCTCTTCTCTTCGACTCCTTTGGTTTGTAGTCCGCATTCCATGCACTAAGCCCTAGGCTTTTCCGATATCGTCGTGTACGACTAGTGACTAGAGACCGTTCCGCCGTCCCCACTACCTGTCACATGGAAGAAGACATGGAGCTCGCACCCGATGTTGACACGCAGAATACCTCCAAACCACCCTCCGCGCTCTTACCCACACACGGAAACTTTTCACTCACTCTCCTTCTGTCCAAACCATCTTACGACCCCTTTGCGTATCCCATAGGTCATATATCCATCCCTCCAGCAATCTTGAAACCCGTCCCGAGGAATCGACATGACCTCCCTCCTCGAGCAGGAGAACCGGCGTTCAGAGCGCAGCAGGAATTGTTCCACACCTTCCAGCCGGAGGAGAAGACGGTGAGCTGGATATGGAGTGTGTTGGGGACAGGGGTGACTTTGAGTCCCTGGGTGGTATTATTAGGCTTGGTGCGTCCATTCTCACCTGCATGTCTCAACTCTCATCCACCCATTCAATGCTGATGAGCCAGATTCGACCGGCTACAAAGGAAGCCACATGGCTGTCCCCCCCTACCTCAGTTTGGCCATTCCTTCTGTGTCTCACGGCCATTGAGGTTCTCACTGCTACATACTGGGTGGGGTTGAAGATCTATCAAGTGAGTCTCCCGCGTCTCGCTGCCAACAGGTAGGCATGTGAGTTGCTGACATGGCAGTTGCTACCCTATCTCCTCGGGACGAGCCTCTTGGCAGGATATACGGGTAAAGTAGCCTTGGGATCGTTACGTCAACGACGCCTGCAAGCAGGAGGGAAACCATGAATCTGATGACCGTACTTGTCTGTCGATACTCGCACAGAACTCGAGTCCGTCTATGTAAGTAGAAATGTGATATGAATGCATCGATGATGCATTCCACGTCGGACGAGTCCCTGATCCATGACATGTGGACATGCTGCTCATGGATCTTCAATGTCTCATAATAATCACATTCATGTCTCTCTTGCTGCATTCCGGAGAAGAGTACTTTGCGCACAATACTTTTTCACTTCCTGCACAATACTGCCACCAAGTCACGTGATATTTTGGCTTATCAGTGAGAAAAAAATACCACGTGTGACCGAACCACCACGATCTAACATCTGTTCATTCAACCTCAATGTAAAATTTATCAATCAGCTTCACCTACAGCTCACAATACATCAAATATAGCCAAACCGACTGCAGAATCCGAACCAGCAGCCAAATTCACTTCAGAAAACATATCAGGACACATCTCTTACAGAGTTAGACGTTCCTCACTGGCCTGTAACGGTACTGGAAACACGACGACTAGGTCGCAGGTTGGGTCGAACTCGATGGAGGTCTCGTGGAAATCTAGGGGCTCTGGTGCTAATGGATCGTGTCTCCTCTGCAATCGATGTAGCCAAAGAATGATATTGAAGAATCAGCAAAGTTGGTACTTTGCTGATTGTACTATATACTGTCTACAGGTATCCGTCTCCTCTTCTCAGTCCCACTGCAAGCGTCCATGTACATACTCGGACAGGTGAAAAACCGCTTTGAGCAAACCCAGTGGGGAAAATCTCGAAAGGGGAAAACCCGTCCCTACCTACTGCAGCACTGCCTCCAACTCCCGCTTTCCTCTGTCCTAATCCGTCGAACTCGATAGAGTTCCCTCGATTCGTTGTTACCCCGTAACAAGTTTCCCCCCCTGTCTCAAGGATCCTCGCCGAGGATCCTGAACCCTGTAACCAGGTGATGCACATGGATTGTTCTTAGACACCTTTGGTGCGCCCTGACATCATACCCACGCTAGTGTGATGGTTGCCATGAAAACGCGTCACCCGCACGGACCTCCAATGTGATCGAGAAATTACTGACCAAGTTACCTCCCCGTCTTTTTTCTCTTCTTTCCTCCTCATTCTCTCTTTACCTCTTGTTTGTCATTCTTTTTACTTATCTATCATTATCCATCCATATCTTACTCATATCTTAGAGCATCCTTCCAACTCTGACCTGTCTGTGAGCATGTCTAAGCGTACTGTAAGCAATTCTCTTCGAATTCGATGCACTTCCTCCTGTTTATCACTGGCTGACGAGATTAGTTGTCCTCGTCTATCTCTTCTCGTCAAACTCGGGCCTCTACTGTGGCCATTCTCCCCGACGTCGATCCCGAACTTCTCATGCGTCAAACGAAAAGAATGAGAATTACTTCCCAAGCGCCAGTTCCCTCTCAAACTCCATTGGTTGACGCTTCTCGAAGGGCTCTCGACACCATTAAGGATCGATATCAATCCGGCCCTTCTCGCGACCAACAATCGTCTCTTCTCGATGACGAGGTCATCGAGCAATATATCGACTTCGAAGCGGGGGCAGGGCCATCTACCACTGGTGAGAACCCATCTCCTGCGAAATCTGTCGAGTCCGAACACGGTACCATCGTTGAAAATCAAAATTCTCCTGGTAATAAGTCCCCTGTGCCACCTTCTGATTCCGAGGGGCTTGTCGAGGTTCCCCATGAACTCGAAACCATTTTTCACGCCCCTCGCAAGGTCCCGGTCAATGATGAACTTGCTAAGGCTCTGGATGCTCGAAAAGACTCGGAAATTGGTGAGATTTCTACAGAATTCTGTGCGTTTCTGACTCGTCAGCTACCCTCTGGGCCCGCCTTTCTTTCTCCTCTGTTCGTCACGCTCTGAAGGATGAAGCCCTCGATCGCTTTCGCGAGACTGGGGCCATCAAGCCCACTGTCAAGTGGTTTGGTAACGCCGTGAGCTTTTTCTCCTTCGTATTCCACCGAATTCTAACTGTTAGCTTGATCGCTTGGCCCAAGGTTGGCGACTTCGTAACAAGAATGGCGCTGTTGTCCGTCTCGAGGGTGAGCTTTGCTCCGATTGCCAGCGTCGTCTCGATGGTGGAGAAGATTTTCGTGTAGGTTGTATCGGTCCTCGTGAGTCTTCCTACTCTTCCTGTTCGATATTGATGCAACTTAGTTGGTGGTGTTTGTGGAGAGTGCTCCGCGAAGGGAACTTCAAAGTGTTCGGTGAAAACCAACAATCCCGAGTCCAAATTTCGCGAGGTATCTATCTTCTTCCTTCGAACTTGGTCGATGTTGATGTAAAGGGTATTACTGTCGGAGCCCAGACTGTTACTTCCAAGGTTACCTTCGTCCTGGAGCACGAACTCTGTGCTGTCTCGGCCCGATATCGATCCCTTTCCTCCCAGGATCAATCCTCTTCTCTCACCCAACTCTCCGCTTACATCCACCTCTTTTCCTCTCTCCTTCTTCCTCTTCCCCCAGTACATCTGGGCCTCTACAAATCTCTTCATCTCATTCCTTCCAACTACGCCCCTCCCTCTCCTTCTGAAACCTTGGATCATCTCACCTCTGCTGCTGATCCAACCGGATTGACTTCTTCTCAACCAGTCGCCGGTCCCTCCTCTTCTCCCCATACTCCTCTCCCCCGCAATGTCATTCGTATTCCCGCCTCGGTCCGTCGTCCCCGAGCCAATTCTACCACCTCCAACTTCTAGTGTATTTTATATCTCTCTATACGTAGCCATATCTCCTGTGTATGTATTTATTTCCCAATAAATTCCGTTGATTTTGATCGAATTCTCACTTTCTTCTGGGATCTTTTTTCCTCTTTTCCAGAAATTCACCAAAAACGGCCAACTCTTCTACATTTTCTCGTGGTTCCCAGTCATAGGCCGCATTCCCTGTGTATCCTAACCATTTTACCTTGAATTCCTCCTTTCCTCGTCGAATTCTACTGTCCACAATTGCTTCCACATGGAATTCCTCCTGGCCGTTTATTACTACAGGTGGTGGGGGTTGTATCTGTCGACCTGGTATCATGTCTCTAGGATATGGTTCCAACAACGTGACATTGAAGACATTGTGCACTCTCATTGATGGAGGTAGATCTAATTCGAAAGCATTTTTCCCCACTCTCCTTATGATCTTGAAGGGGCCAACGTATTTTGCTTCTAATTTTCGACTGGGTCTTTCCGTCGTAAGATACTTCGTACTCAGTAGTACCTGTTCTCCCTCTCTGAATTCTTCTGGTACACTCTTGTGTCTCCTGTTGTAGTATTCGGCACTAATCTCATTAGCCATCCTGACCTGTTCTTGAACAGCCGCATGTAACTCTCCCATATCCCTCCATTTCCTCTCCAACTTGTTTGACTTTGATCGAATATCGTGCGAATGGATGTCGTAGTGTGGCACATAGCCGTAACAGGCTTCAAAGGGACACAGACCGTGGCTACTATGTGGCGAACAGTTATAAGCGAACTCAGCAATTGGTAGAAGTTGATCCCAATTGTCCATGTTGTAGTTTACATACATTCCGAGCAGGATTTCCATCTGTTGATTTACTCGCTCAGTTTGTCCATCCGTTTGAGGGTGATACGCAGTCGAGTATAAGTTCTTTATTCCCAAGAACTGACATATTTCCTTCCAAATTTCCGCCGTAAACTGAGTTCCCCTATCTGACACAATTGTTCGAGGTACTCCATGTTTTGAAAAGATCTCCTTGATGTAGATGTCGGCCACTTTGTTCGCTGTTAGTCCAGTTGTACATGGAATAAATCTAGCCATCTTGGTTAGTCGATCGACTATCACCAGTATCGCGTCGAACTCGGTCGATTTTGGTAGGGGTCCCACCATATCCATAGAGATATCTGTCCAGGGCAGTGTGGGTACTGGTAAAGAGACCAGATGTCCATACGGCTGGTGTCGATGAGTCTTGTGTCGGTTACAGATCTCGCATCCTTTTACGTATTTTGCAATATACTCGTCCAAATGTGGCCAGTAATAGTCCTCTTTGACCATGGTGATAGTTTTGTCTCTTCCTGGATGACCCACTAGCATCGAATCGTGTCTTGCTTTCATTACTTCTAATCTTGCCTGTCCCTCTGGTATGACTACTCTGTTTTTGTATAAGAGTAATCCGCTCTGTGTCCATGATACTATTGGTGTCTCGCTGCTAGCCTGTGTCTTCTGTGTGTCCTGTGTGTTCTGGGTGCTCTGTGTGCTCTGTGTGCTATGTGTCTGTGTCATCTGTAGTCCTAGTTGTCGTATGTTTGCTATGTCTTCTGAGTCTTTCAGTCCGTTCTTGATGAGTCCGAATAATGAGTCTTCCCGGATTGCTCCTCTTACTATGTGTCTTGGTCCTTTGTGTTCTGAGTCCATTGAATTCGATCCAATTTGTTCGTGTGTCGGTAGCAATTGTAGCCAGTTGCCTTTGTTAAGATTCGGGTCCTTGCTACTCCCTCTTCCCGGATGATAATCTCCTCGTCTCGTCAGAGCATCTGCTCCCCCATTTTTGCTCCCTGGTCGATAAGTGATCTCTATGTTGAAGTCTCCCAATATTTCCAACCATCTCATCTGCCTTCGATTTAGTGTCGTTTGCTTTGGAAGTATTCTAGGTTCT